ACTAGCAACAACAAATGTTGGCGAGGGTGTGGACAAAAAGGAACTCTCCCGCACTGTTGGTGGGAGTGCAAACTGGTCCAACCACTATGGAGAGCTGTGTGGAGATTTCTGGACCTACTAAACATAGAGCTTCCATATGATCCAGCAATTCCACTCCTAGGTATTTACCCAAAGGACACAGAAACATCAATTCCAAAGAACACCTGCACCCCTATGTTTATAGCAGCACTATTTACAATAGCTAAGCTTTGGAAACAGCCCAAATGCCCAAAAATAGATGACTGGATCAAGAAGATGTGGTACATATATACCATGGAATATTACTCAGCATTCAAAAAAGATAAACACATGCAATTTGCAGCAACATGGATGGCGCTAGAAGGGATCATGCTCAGCAAAATAAGCCAGAAAGAAAAAGAAAAATACCGGATGGTCTCACTCATAGCAGGAATCTAGAAAACTTAAATAAGGGACCAGGAAAATGAATAACTATAAGAAAGTGAAAATCAAAATCAACAAAAATCTATGAACCAGAGACACTTTTGGGGGGTGGGTGGTGGGAGGGGAAGGATTGGGGTCAAAATGGGGGGGTTGAAATTGTATGGGGAATATAAAAATAAAATTTATTATTAAAAAAATAAAAAAAATAAAAATGTCCTCACCCCCCCCCAAAAAAAAAAAAACTATTACTGTATTTTAATTTAGAGAAGTTTTCCTCAACTTCTTAATTTGTATGGGCTCATCTTTTATCTACCTTTAAGATTATTAAACACATAAAATAAAAATATTATGTAATTAAAAAAAAATACATTGCCCTAAATAAGTCAGACAATCTAGAAGGTCCTGAAAAATAAACTTTACATTAAAGCTAAGTATGAATTATAAGAAGAAAACACTAATCTGCTTCTTAGTCAGAGATGAAAAAAATTGCCATTCTCTTAGAACTTCTTATATGTATAGTACAGCATTGTGCACAACTATTTTACATTTATTTTAAAGTTCTTTAACTATAGAATACATGAATTTATCCTTTATAAGAAATTAAAACATTGCAGATTTTTGTTCAATGTTTATTAAAGGTCTTTGAAGCCTGGCTTGGGGTACAACACATTTTGTAACAATACAATCCACCAAACACAACTTGTCCGGTGCTGGTGGGTTCACTTGGATTCATCAATTCTTTAGTAATAGTTGTTGCCAAAGATTCTGGGCCAAGTCTAGTGTGAGAGACAGCATTGTAGATGGATCATTTCAATATAATTTGGCAAGACTTTAGAAAGGCAAGAGCCCAGAGTGAGCACAGGGGAGACTCCTGAGATGATGAGGCCTGAGATAAGAAGGGTAAAGCCAGTTAGCTGGTTAACCTGAGACACGAGGCCTGAGGAGGAGGAGCAGATAGCTCCTGAGACAGCAGGATGACAGGGACAGCAGTGTGGGGTGTGGGGTACATACATTTTACCTGAGCTTAAAGTGGAAGCAGGGAGGGCCTCCCCGGTGGCGCAACGGTAGAGCGCCGGGTTGCGAAGCTGCCCGCAGCCTCTGCAGCGCCGGTTCAATCCCCGGCTGCTCCCCGGCCACGGGAGGAGGGTCCCACATGGCGCGCGCAGACCTCTGCTGCCGTCCGCTGCTCCCCTCAGCAGTGTACTTTGGTCCTTCTGCCTGCTCTGCTCCCCGCTCTGGCTCTGGTGAATTCTCTCACCCTCCCACGCTTCTGACTGTACCCAGTGCTTGTCTATTTAAATAAATAAATAAATAAAAATAAATCAAAAAAAAAAAAAAAAAGTGGAAGCAGGGAGGCATGACATGTGTTCTGAGCAGTTGGGAGCATCCTTTGCTGTTGAGAACTGGGTGGCACACTGGTGATATGTGTTGTTCAACAATGGTGATATTGTTCTGAGAAATGGATTATTAGGGGGCCTCCCTGGTGGCGCAAGGGATTAAGCATCTGCACTATGAAGTTATCAGCAGCCACTGCAGCATGAGTTCGATCCCCGGCCAGGGAGTTAACCCACACGACACAGCAAACCTCTCCTGTCTTGCCCCCTGCTCCCCTCAGCAGTGTATTTCAGTTAATCTGCCTGTTCTGTTCTCCACTCTGTCTCTGTTGAATCCTCTCAACCCCCACACCTCTGGCCTAAACCCCAATTCTTGTATGCATAAATAAATCTTTAAAAAAAAAGAAAAGAAATGTCTTGTTAGGCCATGTCGTCATTACCCTAGCCTTGTCTTGGTCGGCAAGAGCATGGGTGGCATAAATGACAGTGGTCCCAATAGGTCATGAATATAACCTAGTTATGAAATATGCTAAACCATCTAGGTTTGTGTCAGTATAGTCTGTGACATTCAGGTAATGACGACATGGCCTAACAATACATTTCTTTTTTGTTTACTGCAGTGGCTGCTGATAGCTTCATAGTGCAGACGCTTGACCCCTTGCGTCACCAGACAAACAAATCCTTCAGGTATTCACTACTCCTAACTCCCCACTGCAAGTAAATTAAAAGGACCTTTTGGATCTAACCCAACAGAGGAATGAATATGAAAAACTGAACAAGGAATTGAGAGAACCACAAAATGATCAACAGAATGACAGTCACAGATTTCCACATAGCAATACTCACCTTAAGCGTTAATGAACTAAATTCACCAATATAAATACACAGAGTGGAAGGTTAGATTAGAAAACAGAATCCAACCTTCTGCTGGCCCCAGGAAACACACCTAAGTTCCAGAGAAAACCATAGATTGAAAGTAAAGGCTTGGAAACTATTCTACAAGCAAATGGCACCCAAAAGAAGGCAGAGGCAGCCACACTTATATGAAATAAAACAGACATCCAGCTACAATAGGTGACAAGAGACATAGATGGACACTACATAATGGTCAAGGGGACAGTACACCAGGAAGTTGTAACACTAATCAATTTATATTCACCAAATGAAGGAGCATCAAAATACATTAGATAATTACTATCATCTCTGAAAACAGCCTTTGGACAAAATACACATGTGGTAGGAGACTTCAACACCCCACTCTCAGCAATGGACAGATCAACAAGATGGAAAATAAATATGGACACAATTGCACTAAACCAAGATCTAGACCACATGGGCCTAACAGTCATCAATAGAACACTGTACCCACCAAAATCTGAATACATATTTTTCTCAAGTGCACATGAATCATTCTCCAGAATAGACCACATACTGAGTCACAAGACAAACATCAACAAGAACATGAAGATTAAAATCTTACTGAATGTCTTCTCTGACCATAGAGGTATTAAACTAAAAATCTACTATGAAAAGAAAGCAAGATGATCCCCCATAATGAGGAGACTGAACAACGTTCTACTGAAAGACCGCTGGTTAATGAGGAAATCAAAGAAGATATGAAAAATTACCTAGAGACAAGTGAAAAGGAGGATACAACCTTCCAGAATATATGGGACACACACAAAAGTAGTAGTAAGAGGAAAATATAGAGCAATACAGATCCACATCAAGAAAAAGGAGAGAACCCTAAAAACAACCTAATCTCCCATGTTAAGGAACTAGAAAAATTTAGAGCAACGAGAGCAACAACACAAAAAAGCCAAACACAGTAGAAGAAATAATAAAATCAAAGTAGAAATAGATGAACAGAAATTAAAAAGATAATCCAAAAGATAAATGAAACCAAAAGCTGGTTATTTGAAAAAATAAAATAGACAAACCTCTAACCAGGTCCACAAAGACAAAGAAGGAGAAAACTAAAATAAATAGGGTCATACATGAAAGACGAGAAGTTACAACAGACACAGCAAAAATCTAAAGGATAATTAGAGATTGCTATGAACACTTATATGTAAACAAGTTCAACAATCTAGATGAAATAGACAAATTCTTACAATTATACAATCACCCAGGGCTGAATAAAAAAGAAATAGAAAACAGTCAATTAACCTAAGACAAGGGAGCAAAGAATATACCTGGGAACAAAGAATGTCTCTTCAATAAACAGTGCGGGGAAAACTCGGCTGCCACATGCAAAAGAATGAATCTAGACTACTTTCTTTTACCATACATAAAAAATCACTCAAAATGGGTAAAAGACTTGCATGTAAGACCTAAAACATAAAATGTATAGAAGAAAACTTAGGCAAAACTCTCCATGACATAAAACTCAGAAATATGTTTGAGCACCCTTCCCTACAAGCAAGAAAAACAAGAAAGATAAACTGCTGGAACTACATCAAACTAAAAAGAGACAGCAATCAAAATGAACACTCTGCTGAATGGGAGAAAATATTTGCACTTCATACAACTGATGAAAGGAACAAGATAAAAAATCTGCAAGTGCTTACACAACTCAACAAACTCAAAGCAAGTAACCCAATCCAAGAAAGTCTAGAAGAATCAAAAACACACTTCTCAAAGAAGAACCACAGAAGTCCAAAAGGCATATGAAATGTTCAATACCCCTCATGACCTTAGGGATATGCAAATCAAAACCACAATGAGATACCATGTCACATTTGTGAGAATGGCCCATATTTAAAAACAAACCAAAAAACAAACAAACAAACAAAACCAGAAATAACTGATGCTGGTGAGGATGTGGTGATAAAGGAACCCTCCTACACTGCTAATGGGAATGCAAACTCATCTGGCCACTATGGAAAGTGTATGGAGTTTCCTCAAGACACTAAAAATGGATCTGCCTCTGTCATTTACTCTCTGGGAAGGGGCCTACAACTGAAGGCAGGGCACCCACTTGCACATCCATACAGTGCAGCACTGCAGGGAGAGGGTGGGATTAGCCCTGAGGTGGTGAATGGAAGCAGCCTGGGCCCAGATCAGGGTGTGGGGCTGCACCCACCCCACTCTCCCTGAGGCTGCAAATGTCACAGCTCCTGCTGCTCACCCTGCAGGAGGGGGCTCTGTCCAGGCTGCACTCTGGGCACACAGAAATGACTGATTGTCCCCCCCCAGGGCAGCCCCACCAGATATATCCATTACCTGGAGTGATCTGGCAGGTCTGGGTAGCTACAGTGAATGTCCTATTATTTTTTCCCACGATGGCTGTGCATTCTCCTGTGGCCTAAAAAAAATTTATAAAAGACACCATTTATCTCAATCTTTCAGATGGAGACATCCACCTAGCAGCACTAAATACAGTTTCATCTTAAAAAAAAAAAAAAAAGACTTGTCAAGATGTTTCCTAACAGAATTCTGAGGCAAAAAAACGAATGTTTGTATAATGGAATGACCATTTTTTTCCAACCACTGAGATTCATGGGAACTTGAAGGAGAGGCACTATAAATGGTGAGACTTTAAATCTCAGTCTTTGCTTTGAGGCCTGGAAATACTTCTTTTTTTTTTTTTTTTTACCAAGATGTACACAACGCCTTAGAACCAAACTGTTAACTCTCCTTTTGATGCACTTTTCAGTTTCCATGTTCAAACTGCATAGAAGATGCCCATGTTTCACACTGAATAAGTGAATGCAATGACAGTGAAAACACTAGCTTGTTGCTGAGAAGATCCCATCTGCAATCTCCCTGAACTGAGGCAAAACAACCAGCTGTGGAGTGGCAAGCCCTTGCCAGGCAAAGTCCTTTGCAGGAGGTGTCTCCTTGCCTCCTTCCCCCATCCATGGGGTCCCTGTGAGCTCTCCTGTTACAGGGGAGGAGCCAGTTCAGAGTGGTCAGCTAGCTGGAGGCAGAGAGTTTCTGGCTTAGGCCTGTGAAGGTAAGGGCCCCACTCCCCTCTCACCAGCCCTTCACCTGTGCCCAAGGGCTCTGATGTCTCTGGGCCTGTCCATGTGCCCCAGGGGGTCAGCAGAGTCGCCTTCTCAAGGGGGACTTTCCTCATGTCTAACCACTGGCCTCTCCCTGCCCTTTATGTCTATGTGACAACACAGACATCAAGCATGGGACTTTTCTGTACATTGATGGTTCATGGGCAACCTCAGAAACAGACTCACAATATTTCTCATCCTAGCACCAGAAGAAATTTCTGGTAGTCTTGACACAGAAAACCAGAGGCTTGGAAATAGCTGACATACTTACAGCATCCGCAGATTGTTTATAGTCACAGTCCTGCCAGGATTTGCCACTTTGAACAGGACAATCACCCTCCTTGACTTGGTACTTGAAGGAATAAAATGGATCTATGCCACCCTGAGAAAAAGCAAACAAAGATACGTAAGGTCCATCCTACTGACGCACAGTGAATCATTTGAGTGTGATCTGGTGTGGTTATGAATATTTGATATTTCTTTGATTAAATTGGGGCAAACATACATTAGAAGTGCCAAAAGTTTCATATATTGACTTGGACAAATATTCTTTTTGTATTTACATGTATGTATGTATATACACATGTATGTATAACAAAGTAAATTTATTCATTCAATAAATGGAGCAATTATTTGCCAGGTAAATATACATACACACACACACATACACACACACATATATATATAAGTTACAAAGTAGTATCTGTAGCATTAGGTCATATTTGTAGAAATCAATTTATATGTAGACATATGATTTTTTAATGTCTGAAAAGTTGTGCAACAAAGTTGTTATAATGTTTGTCTTTCACTGGTAGGAATACAGCTGTCTTTCACTTTCTTCTTTAAAACAAACATTCCTGGGTGCAATTGTATGGGAAATACAAAAATTTAAAAATTAAAAAAAATAAATTATAATGCTACTCTAAACCTTAAAAAAAATTCCTGAATTGTCAAGGTGTTTTTTAAACAAAAATATATTAGTTTTATAGTTAGATAACCAACAAATTAAAGGATGTTTTTTCACTTTTGAGCAAAATGATAACAGTTATTTCTGGAGAGTAGGATGAATTAATCGGAGGTGAGTTTAGTATGTTTTTTGCTTACTGTCAATATTTCAATCACATCATAATGGAAAATAAAACTTCTAAATTGCAAAGGTGGTGAATTGGATGAGCTTTCAAATGCACAATCCTGGCATGCAGGACCTGAGAGGTGGTGTTGTCCAGCCCCCCACTTTGCAGGTGAGAGCCAGGAGGCCAGCATTCTGGCAGGAGGAGGCAGCCTTGCCACCAGGAGAAGCAGAGGCCGAGGGTCCTGGGCTCCTGACACCCAGGGGCCATTCTCTCAGAGCCTGGTGGGTCATAACCTTAGCACCTGGAGGGGCTGGAGTCAGACAGGCCCTCTCTGAGGTCCACTCCAGGTCTCAGTTTTAATAAAACAGGAAGTGGTAGCAGTGTGGGTGGTGGTCACACTGGAAAGGACAGATAACAAGTGATTCTACAGACATTTTTGAATGAAAGTTGACATCTGCTATGGCAGCCAATGAAGACGCCACCAACACACTGGACAGACCCGGAAGCAGAACTCTTGCCTGATGACTCTAGATTATGGAACCACATGACTCCATTTCATTTTCAGAAAAAAACGTTCTCTTGGGCTTTTGTCTTAATCCTCATGTCGAATGACTGATTTTATTTTTCACCAAAGTAAACAATTGAACAGCTATCACAGAGACACAGTGTTTAACAGTGAAATTCATTTAAACAAACTATTGAGAGAGTTGTATTTCTTGTCATAGTATAATTGCTAATTTAAATCCCAAGCTCCCATTTGCCCAGCAGGCAAGTCTGGGAGGCTTGAATGGCTAGAGGGAGTCCATAAAACTGCCATGGGAACCTGGACATTAAGGTGATGATCCAAAGAGCTTATGCTCTCCTATGCCAATTTGGATCATCAATCAGGTCACACCCAAGACTAGTCATTGTAGCCAGGCAATGACGCCAGGAGTATACACAGAGCCTTGAGACCCTCAATCTGTGTACCAGACCCCTTCTGTCTCACCCACAGCTTCTCTTAGCAGTGTAGTTCAATAAATCTGGCTGTTCCATTTTCTACATAGTCTCTGGTGAATTCCTTCACACACACACACACACACACACACACACACACACACCCCACACACACACCCTTCCTCCCACCTACACCAGAACATTTCTGAAATCAAATATATTGTTAGAGTTTGTCCTGCCTATATCAATCAGTGACTAAAAATATTAAAAACCACTCAGAATATAGCTGTTACTCTTGACACATTCAAGCCAATAGCTTCAAGGTAGATACTAATGGCTTAGAATCTAACTCCATCTCCCCTGCCCCTTTATCAAGGTATAATTGACAAATAAAAATTATATATATTTATCAGTTCTTTGCTGGTTTGTGGTGGTGGGGGAGGGAGAGGGAAGGGTGCCTGGGCTCCAAGTGAAAGCATATTCCAAATTCTGTCAAGGTTTCATAGCATACTCACCATCTTGATGATATTACTTATACGGTGCAATACAAACTGGTTGCCACTTTGGTTTTCATCATTATATTCCTTCAGCGCAGCATCCACAGCCTTAAATACATCCTCATCATCGCAGCCAATTTCCTGTGAGAAGGACTCCTGGCTCAAACTTGATAGCAGCCTGGAGCAGAGGAAAAGGACGGTAATTAATCTCATGACTTAACAGTCTCCTTCTAGGCACTGAGAAACTTTCCCCCCAAAACTGGGAGCCAATCTAGATGCTGATTTTAACTATCTCCATCCTCTTATATCCTCTGCTTCAGTGCTCTGGGGCCCTGATTGGATCTCTGCTCTCTTACACTATTTGCCCTATTCCAAAAGGACAAATGACTCTCTGTTGTGCTGTCCAAGCATTACAACACTGGGGTTGTTGACCTGCTTGTTTGCATTTGGGAGGCGTGTGGGAGCGTAGGCCATGTTTCAGGTAATTACAAAAATTTATATAGCAGATCAGAGCAGAATCTAATAAAGGAGGAAGAAAAAACCCTAACCATCTCTGTCATCTCCGTGGAACTTTCTCAAAGTTATTTACAAGGTCACTACATATGGCAATAATGCAATACTGAGGACAATGTTGTAATGGCAGGAAGGCATGGTGCAGGATCTCTATAATCCCTGTGCAGATGGGTAATGGAGAGTCCTGGAGCCCTCGGTGGCTTTTCAGGCCTTTATTGTCATTTACCAGGTACAAGGCAGGCAGGGGTGCTGGGGGGCCAGAAGGCTGGCACGCCTCCCAGCCCCCGGCAAATCTTCACTCTTCCCGGGCTCTCCTGGGTTCTCTCGTGGTCTTGGTCTCTCTCTTCTGATTCTCTTTCATTCTGCTCTCTTGCTTGTTCTCCTTCTGGTTCTGTTCCATTCTGCGACACCGCCCAAGAAGCTCCGTCTCAGCCCTGGTGTACCCACCCATGTCTGCCTGTTATAGAAATAAATTCTAGCCTTTTACCCAGGCAGAGGAGGAACAAGAAGTACTTCAGGAATGGTGAGATCAGGAGAAGTTTATTACTCAGGCATGAGGTCCCAGACTTGGGAAGTCCCATAAGGTCTGAGCACCCATCTAAAGACCAAGAGTTCCTTTTATACACAACTGTGTCCATATCTGTTACATTGATAACATCGTTTTTCAGCAGGCACAACCATTTGCAGCAAAGTCCCCAGACAAGGGGGTCAATACAAGGGGGAAAAGATGCAGGCATTCATGGATGGCCTTGGATAGAGACCAGCTTGGCTGGCTGCCTGACCTTGCAGATAAGAGTGCTGAGACCCTGGGCATGAATCTTGAAAGGGAAGGAACGGTAAGTAAGCAAACTTGCTGATTATGCCTGCATTGGAGTGTTCATTGCACTTGTGCTGGAAGTTCTGCTGGAATCTTTATTATATTCATTTGCTCAATAATATATTTTCTCAGAATGCCCACACCCCACTCCAGGTGTCCGCCATCAGGCATGCATTCAGGACCTCAGAGATCCATCATCAATCCTAATGGCGGGAGGGCGGAAAAGCTTGACAGTCATTTACCCTACAAATGTGCAAACGACTTTCAATATCATGGCAGCACTTTTTATAATAGCCCAAATAGGAAGACAACTTAAGTGCCCCCAAATAGATGAGTAGATCAAGAAAATGTCATATATAGCCACAAGAAATAGTAGTCAGTGATCAAAAGAGATAAACTCATGCCATTTTTGGCAACATGGATGGAACTGGAAGAAATTATGGTAGGTGAAATAATTTGGAAGGAGAAAGACAAATAACGATAGTGGACTTGTAGTTGGAATACAGAGAAACTAAAGGTCAGATGAAGCCAAACTTAATCACTAAGTGGGAGGAGTTAACATGTTAGTCTGGAGGAGGGTGTGTGGCATGGGGGGAGATGAGTAGTAAACACAGGTCAACAAAGAATCAGTCCAAAAGATAAAAGCAGCTGTTTATTAGCAACAGAAACTACAAGCAGAAAGGGCAGCACCACCAACCAAGTAGTAAAGTCCTTTTATTGCATGAGCAAGAGAAAGGTAGGGGGTGACAGGTTGGGTCATATTTTTGGGTGCAGGAAATAGCAGTGGTTCCTCTTACCTGGGAGCAGGATGTCTGGCAGCTTTGGTATAGCCGGGCATCAGCAGATGGAAGTCTGAGCAGAATTTTTGCCGAGTCTGTTTCTTGTCTAGCTCTGTGGTTGCTGCAAGCGGGTTCTAACCTGCTGGCAGAAGTACAGTTATGAGAAGTCTATTTTTTTTTTTTGCACCTAGTTGCTCTGCCCTCCTTCCAATATGAAAGGCTGCAAGCTGAAGATCCCAACTCTATGATATTCTAGAAAAGGCAAAGTTATAGAAATAGTAAGAGAAGATCAGTGGTTGCCAGGGAATTGAGGGGAGAAAAGGAGGCACAGTCAGAGTACAGAGGACTGTTACAGTGGTGAAACTATTCTTTGGTGGAGACATGTCCTTATACATTTGTCCAAAGCCAAGAAGTGGACACTAATATAAACTATGGACTTTGGGTGATAGTGAGGAGTTGATGTGGCTTCATTAATGATGCCAAATGTTCTACCTGATGTGAATTTATAGTACAGGAGGGTGAGAGAGTAGAGAATAAGCAAGGAGTGAATTGCAACTCTTTATACCTTCCATTCAAGTGTGCCTTACCCTAAAAGTACTCTGAAAAATAATGTCTATTTTTTTAAAATAAATTAACAAAATACATACATCAAACACCTGGTAAAAAACTGAATCTTTTCTTTTTAAAATGGAATGTCTCGTACCAAAAGCTAATGTTATAAAATTATTTGTCAACTAATACATTGATTCTCAAAGAATTTACAATTTAAAAAGATGTTTACCGTAGTATTTTTATAGAAATAAGTAATTGGAAGGTACACATGGACAAAGGGAAAAAAAGAAGGAAAGGTAAATATATTACATACCATAATACATATGGATTATCAAATATGTAACATAGAATATCATGAGACCTTTGAAAATAATCTTTTTGAAGAATATTTATTGACTTGGGAAAATTCTCTTGGTATAACCTGAAGGGAAAATATAACATTTAAACTGTATATAATAAGAAATTGTTAAAAGTTCTTCCCTTGTGAATCCATATGGAGTATGACAGATAAGGACAAAATGTGATGAAGACATGATTCTGTCCCATCAGTGTTGACTCTAAATTCCATGCTCTTTAAGTGAAAATCAAAATCAACAAAAAACTAGGAACCAGAGACACTCTATGGGGGGTAGAGGGCGGGAGGGGAGGGAGGGGAGGAATTGGGGTCGAAATAAGGGGGTTGCAATTGTGCAATTGTATGGGGAATATAAAAATAAAATTTATTATTAAAAAAAATTCCAATTAAAAAAAATAAATAAATTCCATGCTCTTTTACTTTTTCAAAATATGCATCTAGTACATGTATGACCATTTACTATGTGTATTTACATCACTAAGATATAGACTAAATCGTACCCAGGCTTAATTCCTTCCTTTATGGTAAAGATAAAAAATAATTGCCTTGAGGGGCTGACTGATAATCCACAGACTAGGAAAACGTGTTTACAAAAGGCACGTATGGTAAAGGATTGCATAGAAAATAAAGAACTCTCAAAAATCAAGAATAAGGAAATGAGCAACTCCATGAATATGAGGTAAAAAATAACTTGAGATCACCAGAGAGAGAGACAGATGGCAAATAAGCACATCGAAAGGCTCTCCACATCGTGTCATCAGGAAACTAAAACTTAAAGCAGCACTGACCTGACACCACACTCCATTAGAAGGGCCCGAATCCAATGTGACAGCAGCCAAGGCTGCTGTACATACAACACTCCCAACCATTTCAGATGCTACATCTCATCTGAGAAGTTTGTCATTTCTTATCCCTGGGCCACCTCATGCTTCTCCCTATCTGAACGTCCTCTTCTGCCCTCCATAATATGTCTAAATGCTATTCCATAACCCACATTAAACCGCCTCCTCTTCAAAAATCCTTCCCTGTGTTTCCACTGAAAAGCCTCACCTTTTCCTGGACTATTTCGTGGCACAGTCTTATTAATTGTATTTTGTGGTTATTTGTTTGCGTGTCTCAGACTGTCCGGCCATTTTAACTCATCCTCTTATTTTCAGCCTACATTGGACATTGTCTGCTCTTATAATGGCTCAAATAAGGATTTTGTTTAGAGGACGCATGACAAAATGGCACCACTTCCCTCTCCACCCTTCCAATGACACAGTGGAGAGCAGGGAACTTCAGTTTTCTCTGTTCCTTTCCCCTAAGGGCCCACGACAGGTGCTGCATTGCATTTATGATATCTTACCATGGACCCTGAAATGTTCACTCTGCCTCTGGGCTGTCCATTCCCATCTTGTCACATTACTCTGCTCCCCCAGGGCCTCCCCCACATTCATTCACAGCTTTAGCCTGCCCTCTGCTGTCCCATAAATATAAACTCCCTTGCTGCTGGCTGCCCAACCAACACATGAGTGTCTCTGATTCTCCCTCTCATTTAGTCCTATAAAATAGACACAGTGTCTCTGCTTTTGTGGATGAATTAAGTGGCTGGCAGAGGGGTCAACTGTACCTATGCCTGAAGTCACACAGCCAGGGACAGAGTCCACTCAGCAGTTCCAGCAACCGCGTGTGATGACGACTTTCCCCAACCACCTAGGGGTGTCTAGTGCCCAGGCCAGTGGCCCTGACTAGGGTGAAAGCACCTTCCTCCCTGAGGGCATTGGATTCCAGGCAAGCCTACGGGAAATGTGCAGGAAATGGAGCAAAATGTGAGGGCGTCTGTTGACTTTGCCCTGTAGTTAATGGTGCAAGTCTGTTGCCTCAAGAGCTGACCCAAGGTCCACCAGAAGGAGAACAGCAAACACCACCCACTCACGAGTGGGTTGGGAGGTTGGGGTTCGATCCTGGTTGCCTGTGTGGTTTCAGACCTGTCATCAAATTTCTCAGGAAGTGATTGTGTCATTTAAAGGAAGGGAGGGTTGGCCTGCCCAGTGTCTAACCCTCCATGATTCTCTGAAAAGATAGCATCACACACACAGCATTTCGGAATGACATCTAATGGGAAGGAAGATAAACAGAAACTAGTCTATTGTGTCAAACACCCCATCTCCACCCATGCTCAGAGATTTTTTTTTATCTTATCCATTTTTTTTAAAATAAGGAAACTGACGTTCTGGAACTCTAAGGGACAATTTCTTCAGCTATGTGCGACTTTCTGCATAGAAATACACACTCTCCTTCTCCTCTTTGTTCTTTTCCAGAATCTGAATCTATAAATTCCAAATTTCGAAAACATTAGTGAAGGCCACTGTTGCTTTCTGTAACAGAGTGGCAAAGGGCTGACACCTTTTTTCCCCTGACAGACCCACAAAAGTCTCTGCTCAGTTCAGCTGCAGGTCCTTCCCCTGGATCAGGGGACCCAAGACCAAATGTTTCTAAAAGGAGCATTTGTGGAAGCTGATTTATTTTTGTCTGATTTCCCTGAATTATACTGCGTGTAGGAGACCCTCTTCTGAAGTCTCCTTCCTTTATGTGTTTCACCAGCTGGATCCTGCGGGTCTGACACCGAGCGCTGCTGGGCCCCCTGCCCTGAGTCCCATGGATTGTGCATTGGGCTTTTCCTTTAAAAAAAAAAAAAAATTGTTGATTTGCCTCTGGTCACCTGAATATAATTTTGGGTGTAGTTTCACAAGTTGTACATGCCTCACCCATCCTGCACCAAAGCTCAGCACCACCTCCGTGTGTCCTCCTGCCTCCATGCGCCCCTCCTCCATTCTGTGTGGTAACCGGTCTCCTGGTCTCCTATTCAAGGAGCCTAGGAATACTCTGCTGTTTGGCCGGTTTGTTCTCTTTGGTTGTTTATATTTCACAAATAAGTAAGACCATGACAGTGAAGGAAAATTCGTAAATATCTTGAACACTGAAAAATGGTATGGCAATGCTTACACTTTAGAAACAACAAAAAAACTTTAGATATTTGTTCTCTGTTCAGAGTCTACTGATTGAAGATTCTGGTATAGGGGGAAGGGAGAGGAAATGTAAAACATTCACCAGCTCACTCCAGAGTTATGAAGTACTTTTCAGTCTTCCCTCCTATTCTATCATCCTACCCTGGTATTCTTACTCCTTTTCCCTGCTCCCCACTGCCTTTTCTCTTCCCATCCACCCGGACTCTTAAGCACCAACAGGAATTGTTTAGGTTAGGTGGTAATTATAATTTCTCCCTGTAAAATTAATAAGTAGACAATAATTTATATTAATAAGTAGACAATAATTAATAAGTAGACAATAATTTATTATAATTATTTTATTATAATCATTGATCACATTATCCCAGTAATCATGTATTTATAATTATATAATTATAAATTATGTAATTATAAATATATAACATAATAATTATGATACAATAAATGTAATATTATTTTAGTCATATTATTATAATTAATTGGTTATATAATTACCTAAAATTATTACTATTTGCTAACATTGAATTAACTTATTATAATAGTCATTAATAAGAAATTAGTATTATTAAGTAATATAATTAATTTAAATTATCATTACACATAATTATTATAAATTAAGTGTAATAAATTAACTATTATAATAACAACCTGCGTGAGGAGCATATAGGTTTTTATATTATTCTTATATTTTCTGTAAATGTGAAATTATTTCTATAACACTAAAAATAAAGCGCATGTGTTTGGAAAAATTAAATAAAAAAAGTAAAGGATACAAGGTCAATATACAGAGAGCAATAGTATTTCTACACATCTGCAATAAAGAAACCAAAAATGAATTTATACTCCTATGAAATTTCCAACTGCCTTTTTAGGAATGAAACTGCCAAGTTGAATTCAACATTATTGTGAAAATGCTAATGATCAATCATATCCCAAATAATCTTGACTAAAAACAAAACAGAACTTTTGATGCAATTTTCCCAACTATACTACAAAACAGGGTGCCACTGACATTCCCAGCAGGTGTGGGAATTCCCATGGATTCAAGTCTCCTTCCTCACCTGGATACTTTCTGTCAATGAAGACTTGTATTGACTTGCTCCTTCTGAGGGAGTAGTCCAGGGAAAGGAACACCAAGATAGATTCCAAAAATAACTGGATTTGTCCAGTTAAGGACAATCATTGAGGAGATTCATCTACACTTTACAGCCTTCTGTGATCATTTTTACAATCTCATCACTTTGCTGATGGGATGCACTTGTAACCAAATAATATCTTATCAGTGCAGGTGTGCCAGCACAATTTCTATTAGTCAGTTGCACCTTGAGCTGAACAAAAGCATCTCATGCATTAGAAAACCTCACGTATAATTTAGAATAAAAAATAAATATGCTTACTAAATATTTCTCACCTGTGAACACAAATCTTAAATTCTGAAGAAATTCAGAGATACTCACCTCTGAGTCAGGAGACTGATGCGTGCAGCTGCTGGCCTGGGATTTGGTACAAGGTGCCTCTTTGATTAAATATTCCACAAAGCATGAAAGTCCAGCCACCCACTGGATGAGACAATAGTTGAGAAATAAAAATCAGACTTTCCACGTGAGGAAATGTTGATTTGACAGTGTAGGGTAAAGAAAATATCAGGCTTTTCTGCCCTTCCGCCATCAGGATAGATGATGGATCCTTGTCCTGAATGCATGCCTGATGGCGGGCACCTGGAGTAGGGTGTGGGCATAGGTAGATGGGATTCAGCTGAGCTAAGACTGTGCTTTTAAGGGCGGCGTCACAGGGGGACGCCAGCTTCAGCAGCAGCAGCAGCAGCAGTAGAAGTAGAAGCCGAAGCTGAAGCTGAAAGAAAAGCCGAGAAGCAGCAGAACCAACGCCTGAGAGCCCAAATAGAGTGAAGACTTGCTGGGGGCTGGGAGGCCTGCCAGCCTCCCAGCCCCCCAGCCAGCACCCCTGCCTGCCATATGCCTGGTGAACCCCAAATAAAAAAACCTGCAAAAACTACTGAGGACTCTGACTCCTCCTTTACCCGGTCTGCATGGGATCAGAAAACCTGCACTGTATCCAGTCCTGCCCTTACAGACAGCATGATATTTACAGAAACATACACGCCCAAGTTGGGTTAGCACAGGTATCCCAGTGTCCCTGTAACCCCACCATGAACAAAGCATGCAATAGGATTCTGACATGTAGAAAACAACCACCACACCTCCCTCCCCTTCTCAGGAATGAACAGGCTCTAAAAGCCTTCACTTGGGTGACCTCATTTTTCCTCAGGTAAATGTATTTTTAGATTAGTTTTCCTCACTTTGATAGATAGCAACATAATGCAAATACAATTTTGCCTCCATTTCCCTCAGCATCCACTCCCAACCCTGACATGACCAGAAGCTGACTTGTTGAATGGCCCTCGGTCACTTAGATCTGAAATGTAGCAATAAACAGTGACCCCAAGTAGAGAAACCAGAGACTGGGTTTCACATTTCCCTCCTTGCCTAAAGGCCAATGATAAAGGGGTCACACACTTGTGGAAATCCCATGAAGCTCAGACACTGAAACACGATTGCGCGGGCATCAGGTATTCCAAGACAAGAACCCAAGAGGCTGCTTATCAAAAGGCAGCCCTGACAGCCCCCTCTCAGCTCTGGCTCCATGGCTACACGCGGGAGACTCACTGTTGGCATAACCGCCAGGGGCGTTCCGTCTCACCTGGGTAGACGCCTTGGTGACTTTGACCAGAGAATACTGCTTCAAGGTGCTCTCACAGTTGTATTTTGCAAGAGACTCAGTAGCAGCTTCCAAGACCTTGGGATCTGATAAATCACTGGGGCTGGGGCAGTCGGGGTAGATTAGGTAGATGCTTCTTTGAGAAACTATTGATGCCAAAGAGAATATGTGAGCCACTACACTTAAATATAATGAATTGTGTTTCTAGTTCCAATTACTATAATCAACTATTGTGATAAAATTTAAGTTTTTATTAAGAAGTTGAGTGGAATTTTTTTTTTTTTTTTTGTCATTTGATAAACCTGCTCTTGAAAACTCAGTCACGACATTGTAAATGTCTGGTGATAATTGTCTTAAAGGTAAATTAGTCAATCACCTCTGAATGTAGTTTAATAAATCCAAGTGGCCCATTTCTCAAGTGAGAAAACTGAGGGTGGAAAGGAAGCATGTCTAAATAAAAATCATGAATGAAATACTGGTTCTGTACAGAACCAGTACAGAAATCTGCTGGTGTTAACTCTGTTCATCAGACCAAACATCAAACCACGAGCCTAATTACAACTCTTCAATTATTCACGAAAGTACTTGGAAAGTCACTTAACTACTAAAGCCTCATACCCAGATCTATAAAATGGGCTTATCATATCATAGCACCTGCCTCATAGGAGATTCTGTACAGGGAGGGTGTAGGGTAAGGTAAAAGGTATCATCTGCCCTCCCGCCATTAGGATAGCTGACGGAACCCCGCAGTCCTGAATGCATGCCTGATGGCGGGCACCTGGAATAGGGTGTGGGCATAGGTAGATGGGATTCACCTGGGCTAAGACTGGGCTTTTAAGGGCAGTGTCACAGGGATGCCAGTAGTAGCAGAAGCCGAGAGAGAAGCAGAGAACGCCAGAGAGCCCAGATAGAATGAGGACTTGCTAGGGGCTGGGAGGCCTGCCAGCCTCCCGGCCCCCCAGCACCCTTGCCTGCTGTGTATGGGTAAATCCCAATAAAAGACCTGCAAAAACCACTGAGGACTCTGACTCCTCCTGGATCTGCTGGATCATAGAAAACCTGCTCTGTGGTCCTTCCTGCCCCTACACATGTATAAATTGAAGAGTATTATGTTTCCTTATGTACTGTTCCTTAATCATTATGTATCGTCTGTCCCTGCCTCTGGAAAATAAATTTTTAATAAATGTTTCAAAATGTTTTGATGAGAATAATGAAAATTTAACATCCATTGAATAATCTGCTATTCCCCTTAATGTTATAATGAAAAAGTAGTGACAGGCAAATTGATGCCAACCTAAGTTATAAAATGGCCAGGTAAAAAAGATGAACAAATCTACAATAATTATAAAATGATTACTTATAAAGGTATAGCTTCCATTTGAAGAGTTAAGACTTCCTTTAAATGAAGTTAAAAGCAATGGGTCTCATGTTACAATACATGAATAAAAAGTATAAGCCAACTCTATGCCTACTACCCAATACATAACAAATTACTTTATGTATTCTGCGTGTGAATGATACCTAGATGTGTTCTCCTACCTTTGCCATGGGAAAAACACAATATCTACGGGATTCTTGCCTTCATCAGCAAGGGTGCTTCAGAGGCGAGCTCTGAGTCCCAGCAGCACCAGCCATGGCACTCCATCACCTGACTGTTGTAGGAGGGTGTGGTTGAAAGTAAACCACTGTGAATTAATCAGGACTGAGACTATCAAGACAGAACTTTATTTGGCTTAGCAACAGAGTGATGAAATGACATCTTCTCTCTTTGAACTCCATCTCATCTTCTTGTCTGTGCACTCGGGGCTGGTGGGGCTACTCTGCCTGCTGTGGGGGCGCTGCCTCACTCTCAGGAGCTGCTCCAGCCCCTGCCTCCCGAGGAAGAGGGCGGACCACGTACTCGCAGGACGTTAGGAGCTCCTGTAAATGTAGCAGAACTCTGTTAATCTGATGTTAGCACTCAATAAAAGAGAAACGAATCAATTGGTTGATGAGACTTTTTTCCTGATATTGTTGGTTCTTTATTTACAAGTACAGATAATATTTGAAAAGAAATTAAAACTCAGAGGCTCAGAAGCATGCAATAAACTGAACTAGCTGTCTAAAGCCCTATCTTGTTTCTCCAGGCAAAATCATAGTACAGGTTATAAAATGCATGGCCCCCTCACATTATAAAACAATTAAAGATAGTTAAATTTTCTCTTTTGCAAAGACCAGCTCTTTGTTGTAGCAACAAAAAGATGATGTGATTATAAAGTAAGATTACAGAGGCATTTCCTCATTTTGTTTCCTCATTTTGTTCCTGAACAAAATTTGTATCACATCATGTGATATTCCTTTATCAATTATTAAAAAAGGGGAGTTTCTAGCAAGCTTGCCTCTATATTACTTCCTCTGTTTTCCATATTTTTCATTAAACTCAGACCTGTTGAAAACAAAGGATTACTCAAACTAGACTCAGCAATAAACAGAAAACTCCTTTTGGATCCTTGTTGCAAAGAGTCGTCAATGATTAAAAACACTGTTGACTTATGAGAAACACTCTCGTTGAGAGAGGATTAGCAGACTAGCGTTGTCAAGAGGGGATAATTATATAGCCCAAATTTAGAAGGAGATGACAATTCACTGACTTCCCATTTCCTCCCTCTGACCAATCTTTATTTCTGTTGTTTCTCTTTGACCTTTGGAAATTTTTTTTTTTTTTTCCCCAGTGAGCCCAGTTTTCAGTGTCTTGACTTCCCTTATGGCCACATGTTCAGGTACCAGATGCCACAGTTTATTCTGAATGTCAAAAGTCTTTGTATGAAAACAATGATGTCCATTTTAAGGTAGACATTTGTTATTAGAAAAGCAAGTAGGCCATAAGTCACATTCATTTGTCTATTTTCTATGCTTGTTTAAAAAACTTGTGACAAAGACTCAGAAAGGATTTAGAATTCTGTTCGGCTTTATGTTGTCCATAGAGATTGATGGTGTCCCCATTGAGAGTCTCACTACTTTTCTCTAGGCTATCCAGAAGTTTTATGGGGTTTGGTGCACCACATCAAGATTTTTGGAAATGGGGAAAAAAGGATGATGAGGTGCTAAAGAAATCCCCATGGCAGCATTAATTAGACAAAGCAACACAGAGATCAAAGTTATGAAATTCTTTCATTTCCACAGCTGGATTCATTCCATTCACTGCTTTCCAGGGGCACCCAGGAAAATTGAGAGAAGTTGTTTCTGGAAAATCAGGTATCAGGCTAAAGGAAAAGCTATCTGGTTCTACCTGGATGTTAGGGAGCCAATCATCATCACTCTCCGTGGGAGCTGGTGATGGATTAGGCATCACAGCTGCATAGAGATCTGAGTCCTGAAAGTCAGCAAAGGTGACTGCTACCCCTGGCTGGGCTAGGGAAGGAGTGGGCGTTGGCCCTTCTGTCTTCTCTTGTGTCTGTGTAGAAGGTGTAGTGCTGTCTTTAGAAGAGATTGCCAAATGCTATTACCACATTACTGCTTTCATCCTGAAAGGCTCTAACTGGCTCCATGAGTTGAATATATAGATATCACATATCCACAAGTACTTTGTTGGAGTGAACACTTCAAGACATGTTCACAAGCTTGCCATGTAGCCTTTGGACTATATTGCTTGTGTTCGACTATGTATAACCTACACAGAGCAAAAAAAAAAAAAAAAAACCTAAACCAGGGAAAAAAAAAAAAAGGGAAAGAGGCAACTAGTATTGAAGATGTGGATTTGTGGATTTTTCCTTCCCTGTACTGTTACTACCTGTGTGGTGATTAAGGCAGGGTTCAGTGATATAAAGAGCACGGTCTTTGGAGTCAAACAAGTCGGACCCTGTAGTCATGGGCACGGTGGCAGACAGGGTGGAGCCTGGTTTGATTTGGATTTGAATCCAAGCACCACTAACTTCACTTTTTCTAATTGTACACTGATAATAAAAGCATCTTCCTTGTAGAGTTTTCAGGAGAAAAATGTATTTGAAATCCTCAGGCCAGATCCTAGGACTGAGGATTCACTTGATTATGTTATTATTTACTCTAGAAGCACAGATCTTTGTAATTTTCAGTTTTTTATCCTAGATAATAGAGAAAGTACTACTCACCTCCCAGGAGTCTATTGAAAAATTTAAAAAAGGCGATACAAACTAATACTTTTTACATGGATATGATCGTGAATATGATCCCCTGGGGATGGTTTTGACTCAGGAGATGCAGCATGGGGGCTGAGATCTGCTATTCTCCCAAGCTCCTTAGCCATAAACAGAGGTAGTAAAGTCCTGTGCCTCACCTCAGGCACCCCTGGAAGGTGTGCAGCTAGTGTTAGCACCCCAGAGCAGAGTCTGCACTGTACTAGGAGAGAATCTATCTCCCCATGGACACTGGCACTGTATGAGAAGTATTAAGAGGACTGCTGTTCTTATTTCCAGCCACAAAAAAAGAGAGTAAGCAGAGAAATGTGAGGTTTCTCCTCATTTGAAAAAGATAGTGACCCAATTCATTTCATTAATAGTTCATGTTAAACCCCCAAATACGACTTTTTCGAAAGAGGCAATTTGATCCCAAGCTGACTATAATCAGAATCATACCACTGTTTTGAGGTCACAGTTGACAGTAGATTCAGTTTTGTTCATCCAAGGTACTATATAAATGTTAGCATCACAGATTAGAACTTGCTATCAAGAAAACAGAAGCCAAAAGAGAAAACACTGTTATTCATGAGATATTTAAACAAGTCTGAAACATCAAATAAACTTTCAGGATATAAGTAGATGATTGCATTACTGCTTACCCCAGGTTCTTTGGTTTCACAACTACTGGTAAACTTTGTGTTACTTTCCTTGGGACAAATGGTTTCCTTGGCAGTGAATTTTATTCTATACGACAGTCCAGACACCACCTGAAAAATTAATTATGTAATGCAAGTTCTCAGTAAAGAGCTACTGATCATCTGCTTTTACTTTAAGGACTTAAAAGGGAGAATATTGACATTTGAATTATACACTGACTAAATGGGCTATGTAAATCATTCAATCAGATCATTTAAATGCCTGACAACAAAATTTCTGTCTTATATGCATGTGTAAAATGGACAGAATATTCTGAGTGACTTGTTCAACATCACACACCAAGATTACAATGACATTATGATGTGAAATTGAAATCCTCCAAATCTCATTCATCAGATATATTATTTTCCAATCCAGAACAAAGATCAGTGGCAAAATTAGTAAGCAATTTGCACATGGATTCTAATATCACTATTTTTGTAGCAAAATTTACAGACCTGGACTGTGGCTTTTTTCACATTGTCAATCTTGAAATAGAATGTTCTACCATAGTCTGCATTAAGCTTTGTGGACGTATGATTCAGAATCTCATTCAGATCTGAGCTGTTGAGAGGTAGATCTTTGGGACAGCCTATACAACGGCCTGCATCAAAATCGTACTCTGAAAAAAATAAGGTTTTAATTCATTGTGTACACAGAAAGAGCAATCTAGACAAGTACCCATCCTGTACATGATCCAGCATCCATTTACAGAGAGGGTTGTGAGGCTGTCCAAAACCCAGGTGTCAGTAGGTGGAAGCTGGCTCTCTGGCCTTTGCTTTCTGCCTTTCCTCTATTCCTCTCCTCTGAGCCCAGTGTATTTAGGGAGACAGCCAAGCAGGTGTTAATATCTCAATCAATATGCTGTGCTTTTCATAACTTTTTGTATTTTTGTTGGAGACTGTGAAAAGCATGCTTAACTTAAAGGGATGACTCTCAAATGGGAAAATGTTAAGTCCTATGACCCTGGCAAGCTGGCAGCTTCTGGAATCCTCCTCACTGTGGACAATACAACTACCTAGCAGGTGGGAGAAAAGCCAACTCTTGGTATAAGAAATACTGACTTGACCATAAATTCAATCAACTCTCTCACCCCAATTATAATATGGAGAGAAACAAAAAATCTTTAATTGGGAGGTTTTTATTCTGAGTGGTTAAAATTGTGGTTAGCTTTCGCCAACAAAACATCACTGGACATAGGGACATCTGGTAAACAAGGAGGACCAGCAGGCTCAGAGAACAGAAAGTTCCCCATGTGGCACAATATCCCTTTTGGACCCCTGGGCAAGCTCTCTCAGCTGCACCTGCTGCCACACAGCTGGGCAAAGATAGGGTACAGTGTTGTCAGAAGGGCAGAGATGGGGTACAGTGTCCACAGCAGGGCTCTGAGGCCACACGCACTTTGAGGTATAACGTGGGAACCAATGTAGGGGTCGGTGACCAGACCCAGATGGTAGTGTATGTCAGCATGCAAGACTAAAGGACCAATGTTTTTCTCTCATACCTGGTAAGAAGTAACATTGCTGTGAGAAGGAAGCAATTCTTTGCGAAAGGTCAATGTATGCTCTATCTGTGCATGTAGCGATCACCTGGTTTTTAAAAAGTAACAAATACATGATTTAAAGTTTTTTTAAGAAGTCTCATATAAGTACTAAAATAAACTTACTAATAGGAGTTAAACTTTTCAACTCACTATACAGAAAACAATACATAGTCTAATTTAAAAGAGAAAATAAGAGTTATGTGATAGCATCAAAAAACAGTAATCCACACATACCCATATACATAGAAATATGAAATAATAAGATGACAAGAAAATCTAATGTAGACATAATAACCATATAAGTAAATGGTAACATTTTAATTTAGAAAGGAAAAGACTTTCAGATAAGTTAAAAAACAAAATCAATTATACCTTTAAGTAAAATATCTTGTAAAACTATAGAAATGATCACTGAAAGTACCATTTAGTACGAAACATGCAAAGTGTAGTAAGGGCAGAAAGTAAATGATAGTTTTTGGATGGTTTCACTTATTTGCAGAATATAAATGTAGGGAAAAAACTGGTGAAGTACAACAAAAATCATTCTTAGGCTCTGTGAAAAATGTTCTGGCTACCAAAAGGATGGCGGGAGGGGTTAAGTGACAGGTTGGGGGTCCCGCATCCATCTAGAGCCTTGGTGGAAGGTAAGTAAAGAATGTGCATAGAAGGAGGTGTCAACTTGTGCTCCCCAAATTATACTTATGTAAACAATTGGCAAATCATTCAAATTCAAGAAAAACATAGCAAATACAGAATAATATCTTGTAATTAAAAGGGTAAAGAAAGCTTAAACAAAGGATGAACAAAGCTAACCCAGGCCAATACGAATAAAAATGGCACAAAATGTTATTATTATTGGATAAAATAAAATTCAAGGTAGCAAAATGTTCAAAAAGGAAGTGACAAAGATCATTTATTCTAATAGAGGATACAGTCCTGAAATATGGAGTAAAAATACATGAAGCAGAAAACATTAGCTATATGAATAAAAATGGATAAAAATAATTGTGATGGGGCCTCCCCGGTGACGTAGCGGTTGAGCGCTGGGTTATGAAGCTGCCCGCAGGCTCTGCAGCGCCAGTTCGATGCCCGGCTGCTCCCCGGCCACCGGAGGAGGGTCTCACATGGCGCGCAGACCTCTCCTGCCGCCCGCTGCTCCCCTCAGCAGTGTACTTTGGTCCTTCTGCCTGCTCTGCTCCCCTCTCTGGCTCTGGTGAATTCTCTCACCCTCCCGCGCCTCTGACTGTACCCAGTGCTTGTATAAATAAATAAATAATTTTTTAAAATAAATAAATAAATAAATAAGTAAGTAAGTAAGTAAGTAAATAAATAAATTGTGATGGGAGAATTTAATATAAACTATAAATGTAAGACAGGTCAAATGGATTAAAAATAAGACTTGTATAATGTAGTATTTATATAAAAGGTATTTTCATATAGTACACATGATTTAAAATACTTTCATGTGGATGACACAAATAATTAAATTGATTTTATATTAGGTCACAAGAAAGATTCAAATAAATTTTGCAAATCAAAAATAATACAGGCCATGTTTTTTTTACAAATTGAACAAATAATTCCATAAAAAATTGCTAGAACAGCAGAGTTAATTCATAGCTTTCATAATTTATTATTTTTATGTTAAAAACTATTTTAGGTGCCATGCATTTATAAAATTAATTTTTTAAATTGAGGTAATGTTAGCATTCTCCCCATCAGTAGAGCATCCGCCACCAAATCACCCTTACTCTTCTACCATAGTCCATTGTGCTTCCTTCCCTCTTTGTTCTGCTTTCATAATTTAAGAGAGGCAAGAAACAAAATAAAATAACCTCAAACATTGGTGCTTATCTCAAGAAGTTAGAAATAGGGCCTCCCCTGGTGGCGCAGCGGTTGAGCGCTGGACTGCGAAGCTGCCCGCAGCCTCTGCAGCACCAGTTCGATCCCCGGCCGCCGCCGAGGGTCCCATCTGGCTCTGGTGAATTCTCTCACCCTCCCATGTTTCTGACTGTACCCAGTGCTTGTATAAATAAATAAATAAAATCTTAAAAAAAAAAAGAAGTTAGAACATGCAATTTGCAGCAACATGGATGGCGCTGGAAGGGATCATGCTCAGTGAAATAAGCCAAAAAGAAAAAGAAAAATACCGGATGGTCTCACTCATAGCAGGAATCTAGAATACTTAAATAAGGGACCAGGAAAATGAATAACTATAAGAAAGTGAAAATCAAAATCAACAAAAACTATGAACCAGAGACACTTTTGGGGGGTGGGGGGGCGGGAGGGGAGGGATTGGGGTCAGAATGGGGGGATTGCAAATGTATGAGGAATATAAAAATAAAATTTATTAATTAAAAAAAAAAGAAAATGAATAATCAATAGCTTCCAGGAATACAAGAAGGGTGAAAAAAAATTAAGATAAAAGCAAAACAAAGGAATTAGAATATAGAAAGTTCTAGCAATAATAAATAAATCCAAATGATCATTCTTGGGGAAAGGGAAAATCCAAATGCATAAAAAAGGCAACACAGCAAGAGATATAACAAGGTATAAATGTATAAAAGAATATTATCAACAAGTGTATGCAAATTTAAATCCCAATGAAACAAGTACTTTTGTGGAAAACCATAAATGATCAGCACTAACTTAAGAATGTTTTACAGAAGAATAATAATTTAAAATTAAAATAATCTATCTGTCAATATTATCTGTTTGTCTACCTATCCCCATGCTGTATTAACTGTTTCTGCATATGGAAAAAAATGGCAAACTACCCAATTCATTAAAGCTATACTTTGTTTACAAAAAGTTGAAAAAAAGAATACACACAAACACACACCCAGAAAACTATACACCACTTTCACTTATAAATATAGATCAACAAAAGTATAATCCAAATGCATATTTTAAGAAAAATTCACATTAAACAAAATTTATTTTGGAATTTAAAGATGACTATTAGGAAAGTTGTCAAAACAGCATAAGAGTTTAAGATATAAAAGCACAATATGATATTTTAATACATATTCTAAAACATTTGTTAAATTCAATATCCATTTCTTATTTGAAAACTAAATAAAACAAACCTTCTTAAAGAAAGTAAAAATGCTCCCTAAATTTGACAAAAGGTCTGCCTGGCACCTTAGCACACACTATGTAGCACCAAAATTCTAGAGGCATTCCTAATCAAATCAGAACATGCATGATCACTGTTACTTCAAAAATATCATTGGAAATTTGAGTGCATTTATTGAGACACGGAACAAAAAAACAAACCTTGGAAAAGAGGAGAAAAAGTATTATTTAGAGAAGATATTATTATATACCTAGAACAATCAAGAGTCAATGATAAGCTGTTAACGAGAGTTCAGGAAAGTTGCTGGATATAAGGTAAAGGATCAAAATCAATACACTTACATATAGCAAATTATTTGTTAAAAAGGAATAAAATAATGTAATTCTTAGAAGCAATAACCAAAGAACAACACAAAACAAATAAACAAAACAGAATGAAACTTAGGAATCTTGGGGAAGCAATGCCCAGAATATATGTAAAGAAAAATCACAACTTTAGAAATATAAAATAAAACTTGGAAGAAGAGAGGCATACCAAGTTCTTAACTGCAAAGACTAAATACAGTGTTTATGCCAACTCTCAAATTTATTTGAGAAATGTACTGTAATTCCAATCTATGTAATAAGATTTTCTTGTAAGTGTATTCTAAGGTTGGTTTTAAAGGTATAAATACCAGAAAAATATACCCCTCATTTAAATTTATTTTAAAGCTATGGCTGTGAACAAATGGTGGGTTTAAAACAAAAATAGAGGACAAAACTTTCATATGAACCCTCTATGGGAGAAATGTTATCTCAAATGTATGTGGAAGGGACAAATACTGAGATATTTGTCTTGGGAAAAATATTCTCTTGGGAAAAATCAGTTGGCTACCTCAAACAAAATTAATTCCATATAAAATTTAAAACTATTTCTGAAAAACATTGACAAATAGAAAGAAAACTAAAATAACTGCAAAACAAATGGTGGAAGAATTTAGAAGGAAAATAGCCATAGATTTGGTGACTTATAAACAAAACTATTTGTAAGTCAGTAGTATTGTAATGAAAACTAAAATGTAAATAACTGAGGACAAGCAATAAAGCACTGATACCTTTATAATATGAATACTATTTTTCAAATCATTCAGATTTATCTCAGTTTACTTTATATAATTGAATGACTGTATATATTTTCATATACAATTTTTTTGTTTACTTATAGCCATTTTATTACATCACAAAAACTCTTAATTTTTTGATTAATTAATCAAACCATAAGTCCTAATTTTTGATGGCAGCATCATCTATTGTACAGATATATTGTAATTTACTTAGCCATTTCATAATGTTGGAAGACTTTATTTCCAATGTTTTCCTAATAATAATAACACTGAAATTAACATCTTACAGTACAGATCTCTCTCTCTCTTTCATATAAGGGAATTTAGAAGTAGAATTACTAGATTAAAGACCTTGCAGCAAACCTTTGCTTAAAGCACAGTCTTCTGCTAAAATGCAAATACTCCAGGGAGGGTTAGGCCTTAGCCATGTCAGATACAGAGGGACAGAGCACGTGGGGAAGGAAAGGAGGGAGGAAGGTGTGAAGATGGGAAAAGACAAACTTGACAATGACATCACATTGTCTCACACTATACCCATTCCCTGGTTATATCTGTGCTATTGCTAGAATTGCAGATTCTTTGACCATGTAGGTAAGGGCATATAGACCAGTGATGTGAGCTTCAGCCACCCAAGGGAATGTGAATGTCATCTAACATTTTAGTGGCAGAGTTCTAACACAGCTGGAGAGTTCCCACACCAAAAAACCTGGGCACAAAATGCTAACAAGATAATTAGATTGTTGCTTACTTACTCCATTGGAAAGGATCTGGCAGTCTGGAGTTAATAATGGAAAGTCTGCCTTGGAACAATTTGTTTGCATAATTGAGTAGGAAACATCAAAGTTCCATCCATCTACCACCTGAAACAATTTTGGATCAAATATTTAAAGGGCAGTTGAAATATTATTCACAATGTTATGAGTAGCTTAGGATACTGCCTGGGATATCATAAACATCCAGGAAGTATCAACAGTAATTATTAATAGACAAAAGTCATTACTAAAAATTATCAAGCATTTTATGATTCACACAACCCTTATCACCATACACACACACTCATATACACATGTATACATCTGAAAATAAAAAGCAGTGTGAAGTTGGAGTTACTATGGAAGACTCTGCCAGGATGCAGAAAAACATTTTCTATTGCATTTTGTGAATTATTAACAATGCTGTACTGGGCAGATTAAGAAAACTTGAAGCTCAAGTAAATCTTTAGGTCCTCAGGCCCTTGGACTAGCTGGCAATAACATTTCTCTTGCTTTAATGTGGGCCAGTCCTGCTGTCATAGCTGGACATGGACATAATTGAGCAGCTCATGCATCCTTCAGGAAGGCAAGTTGGAAGGCGGAGCAAAAGCAGGGAATGTTGCCAGCCAAAGCTGAGTCATCATGATTAGAAGTTGAACTACAAGGGACCCAGCAGATTGTCAGCCAAGGCTTAGTGATCTGAGGCAATGAAAGGATGTTCTATAGATATTTGTTTGCCTGCCAACCCCAGTGATACAAGAACTATTTTAGAGGGTGTCCGGGAAGCAATGCCAACTTTTTTAAGGTACAATTTGATATTTTGGAGCTATGTTTGTCTTGATGGCTAGGTGGTGTTAGAGTTTTCTTAAAACCTTCAGGCCAGAGTGACTTCTTTCACCAGCTCTAGAAAGAACTTCTAATGCTGACCACCCTTTCATTCCAAACAAATTTGCAAGTAGGGAGCCTGATGAGCCACCGCAAAGCTTTACATGTTGCAGTTTCCTGGTTACTTTGACCAAAGCAGAAGCCGTTTGTTGCCCGAGTTAGTTACAGGAGGACACAGAAGAGCCAGTGTTTTTGTTCAGACAACAGATTACTTCAGTTAATGAAATCCAAAGCATAAAAATCTAACAAATTTTAACAATACTGTGCAAAATGAAAGAACAAACCTCTTTATAAGCGCGATTTGTTTTTCCAAGAACAAAGAGATGGGAACGAGCACTGTTGTTGTTAAAATGTGAAACAGCATGTTTCAGGATTTCTTTCACGTTGGTGTCCTCTGTTGATATGGGATACCTGCAACCACGGCAGGTGTGCTGGGAAATCAGTGCAGGTCCCTCCGCTTGGCAAAGAGAGGCAAAATAAGAGACAATATTAATGAGAGAAAGCAGCATTCAAATACATTCCCCTAAATAAGTCGGACAATCTATAAGGTCCTGAGAAACAAATTTTACATTAAATCTAGATAAGAATTATAAAAAGAAAACACTAGTCTGCTTCTAGTCAGAGGTAAAAAAAAAAAAACTGCCATTCTCTTACAACTTGTTATATGCATAGTACAGCATTGTGCACGAGCACTTTACATTTATTTTAAAGTTCTTTAATTATAGAATACATGAATTTATCCTCTATAAGAAATTAAAACATTGCAGATTTTTTTCAATGCTAATCAGAGGTCTTCAAAAAATCTGCAATGTTTTAATTTCTTATAAAGTTGTTGTACCCTGGCTTGGAATACAACACATTTTGTAACAATCCAATCCACCAAACATGACTCTTGCTCCTGCTGTGATGCCAGGCACTGGGGGCTAACTTGAATCCATCAATTCCTTAGTAATAGTTGTTGCCACAGAGGAGCTGGGCAAACTCTAGTGTGAGAGACAGAACTATAGATGGATCATTTCAATGGGCAGAATTTAGAGAGAACAAAACTAACAAAGGGTCAGGAAAAAGACAAAAGGTGCAAGCTGACAATAGATCTGAGCGATGGAGCAGGGGAGGGGGGAAGACAGGGGTCAAAACAGGGGAGGGAAGAACTACAGGGTCTGCACCTGAGGGAGAAAGAAAATACTGTATAAACATTAACAACGATGTAAGAAAATTAATGTTTTTTAAAAAAATTGGCATCCTGGGCAGCTGGATTACTGTTATCCATTTTTATATTAAATACATAAGAAAAGGAAAGCCAAGAAGGTGAAGAACTTTGTGAGATTGCAGACTTGGTCTGATCCTAAGGCCTCTGTTTTTTACTCTCTGGGAAGGGGCCTACAATTGAAGGCAGGGCACCCCACTGCACATCCATACAATGCAGCACTGTAGGGAGAGGGTGGGAGTAGCCCTGAGGTGGTGACTGGAAGCAGCCTGCGCCCCAGGTCAGGAGTGTGGGGCTACATCCACCCCACTCTCCCTGAGGCTGCAAATGGCACAGCTCCTACTGCCCTCCCTGCAGGGGTGGGGGGCTCTGCCCAGGCTGCGCTCCTAGCATAGAAATGACTGATTGTCCCCCCAGGGCAGCCCCACCAGATATATCCACTACCTGGAGTGATCTGGCAGGTCTGGGTAGCTACGGTGAATGTCCTATTTTTTTTTGCCACGGTGACTGTGCATTCTCCTGTGGCCTAAAAATAAAAAAGTAAAAGACACCATTTATCTTAATCTTTCAGATGGAGACATCCACCTAGTACCAGGACTAAATCCAGTTTTACCTTAAAAAAAAATGGCTTGTTAAGATTTTTCCTAACAGAAGTCTGAGGCAAAAGAATGAATGTTTATATAACGGAATGATTACTTTTTTTTTACTGACCACTGATATTCATGAAAGCTTGGAGGCGAGGCAATATAAATGGTGAGGCTTTAAATCTCAGTCTTTGCTTTGAGGCCTGGAAATATTTCCTTTTTTACCAAGATGTACACAATGCCTTAGAACCAAACTGTTAACTCTCCTCTTGATGCACTTTTCAGTTTCCATGTTCAAACTGCGTAGAAGATGCCCATGTTTCACACTAAAGAGGTGAATGCAGTGACAGTGAAAACACTAGCTTGTTGCTGAGAAGATCCCATCTGCAATCTCCCTGAATTGAGGCAAAACAACCAGCTGTGGAGTGGCAGGCCCTTGCCAAGCATTTGGTTAAGATGAGCACTGCTATGACAACAAGGTCCTTCACATGAGGGACCTTCGCATGAGGGTTCTTCGCATGTCTCCTTTCCTCCTCCCTCCATCCATGGGGTCTCTGTGAGCTCTCCCTGTTACAGGGGAGGAGGCAGTTCAGAGTGGGCAGCTAGCTGGAGGCTGAGAGCTTTGGGGTTACGTCAATGAAGGGAAGTGCCCCACTCCCTTTTCACCAGCCCTTGACGTGCACCCAAGGGCTCTGATGTCTCTGGGCCTATCCGTGTGTCCCAGTATGTCAGTAGAGTCACCTTCTCAAATGATTGTCAGGCTTTTCTGCCCTCCTGCCTTTAGCAGTGATGATGATGGATCACTGAGGTCCTGAATGCATGCTTGATGAGGAGGGGGGAACCTGGATTTTGTTACATTATTATATTCAGTTGTATTGTTTACTTTCATGGGCCATGGCTGCAGGATTTATGTGCCCCATGGAAAACTTGTAGAGGGCCAGAGAGCCCAGATAGAGTGAAGACTTGCCGCGGGCTGGGAGGCCTGCCAGCCTCCTGGCCCCCCTCCCCGATCCCTGCCTGCTGTGTACCTGGTAAAATCCCAATAAAAGCCTGAAAAGCCACTGAGGGCTCCAGGACTCTCCTTTACTGGTCTGCTCAGATAATAGGGAACCAGCTCTGTGCCTTCCTGGCACTAAAAGGGGCTTTCTCCATGTCTAAGCGCTGTCCTCTCCCTGCCCTTTGTGTCTATGTGACAACACAGACATCAAGCATGGGACTTTTCTGTACATTAGATGGTTCACAAGCAACCTCGGAAACAGATTCACAATATTTCTCACCCCAGCACTAGAAGAAATTTCTGGCAGACTTGACACACAAAACCAGAGACTTGGAAATAGCAGACAGACTTACAGCATCTGCAGATTGTTTGTAGCCACATTCCTGCCAGGGTTTGCCACTTTGAACAGGACAATCACCCTCCTTGATTTGGTACTTGAAGGAATAAAATGTATCGAAGTCATCCTGAGAAAAGGCAAACAAAGATATGTAACGGTCATCCTACTGATGCACAGTGAATCATTTGAGTGTGGTCTGGTGTGGTTATGAATATTTGATATTGGTTTGATTAAATTGGGGCCAGCATACATTAAAAGTGCCAAAAGTCGGGCCTCCCCTGGTGGCATAGGAGGTTGAGTGCAGCTCTACGAAGCTGTCCGCAGCCTCTGCAGTGTGGGTTCGATCCCAGCCGGCCGGGGAGAATCCCACATGGCGCGGCAGACCTCTCCTGTCTGCCAGAAGTGCCAAAAGTTTCATATATTGACTTGGACAAATATTCATAATGTATTTACATGTATGCATGTATGTATATACACATGTTTATATAACACAGTTAATTTATTCATTCAATAAAGTCACAAAATTTTTGCCAGGTACATACATATATATATAATATATATATATTTAAGTTACAAAGTAGTATCCGTAGCATTAGGTCATATTTGTAGAAATCAGTTTATATGTAGATATGTGATTTTTAAATGTCTGAAAAATTGTGCTACAAAGGGGTTAAAATGTCTCTCAGTGGTAGGATAGCATCTGCATTTCACTTTCTTCTTTAAACAAACATTCCTGAGTTGTTAAGCTGTTTTTTAAACAAAAAAAATATTAGTTTTATAATTAGATAACAAACAAATTAAAGGGCGCTTTTTCACTTTTGAGAAAAATTATAACAGTTATTTCTGGATAGTAGGTGAGTTTAGTATGTTTATTTGGATTTTGTGTTTACTGTCAATATTTGAATCATGTCATAATGGTAAATAAAACTTTTAAAACTCAAAGGTGGTGAATTGGATGAGCTTTCAAATGCACAATCCTGGCATGCAGGACCTGAGAGGTGGTGTTGTCCAGCCCCCCACTTTGCAGGTGAGAGCCAGGAGGCTTGCATTCTGGGCAGGAGGAGGCAGCCTTGCCTCTTGGAGAAGCAGAGGCCGAGGGACCTGGGCTCCTGACACCCAGGGGCCATTCTCTCAGAGCCTGGTGGGTCATAACCTTAGCACCTGGAGGGGCTGGAGTCAGACAGGCCCTCTCTGAGGTCCACTCCAGGTCTCAGATTTTAATAAAATAGGAAGTGGTAGCAGTGTGGGCGGTGGTCACACTGGAAAGGAGAGATAAGTGATTCTACAGATATTTTTGAATGAAAGTTGACATCTGCCATGGCAGCCAGTGAAGATGCCACCAACACACTGGACAGACCTAGAAGCAGAACTCCTGCCTGACGACTCTAGATTATGGAACCACATGACTTCTTTCATTTTCAGAAAAAGCTGTCCTCCTGGGCTTTTGTCTTAATCCTCATGTCAAATGACTGATTTTATTTTTCACCAAAGTAAACAACTGAACAGCTATCACAGAGACACAGTGTTTTACAGTGAAATTCATTTAAACAAACTATTGCAAGAGTTGTATTTCTTGCCATGGTATAATTGCTAATTTAAAATCCAAGCTCCCATTTGCCCAGCAGGCAAGTCTGGGAGGCTTGAATGGCTGAAGGGAGTCCATGGAACTCCCATGGGAACCTGAACATTAAACTGATGATCTGAAGAGCTGATGATCCTCTGTGCTAATTCAGGACACACCCAAGACTAGTCATAGTCACTCTAACCAGTCATGCTAGGAGTATAAATGCTAGGAGTATAAACAGAGTCTTGAGACCTTCACTCTGTGCAGCAGCCCCCTCCTGTCTTGCCTGCTGCCTCTCTTAGCTCGGCAAATCTGCCTGTTCTGTTTTCCACTTGGTCTCTGGTGAATTCTTTCACCCCTGTTCTTCCTGCCTACCCCAGACTCCCCCCCACAGCATTTCTGAAATCAAATATATTGTCAGTTTGTCACCACCTTGCATATGTGAATCAGTGATTAGAAAATATTAAAAACCGCTCAGAATATGGTTTTACTGTTGATACATTCAGCCAATGGCTTCAGGGTAGATACTAATGGCTTAGAATGTAACTCCATCTCTCCTGCCCCTTTATCAAGCAATAACTGACAAAAATTATATCTATTTAAGTTATATAACATAATTTGATATAAGTATACATTGTGAAATGATTACCATACACAAACTAATTAATATATCCATTCCTTTTTTTAGTGGTGAAAACATTCAAGATCACTTTTTAAGCAAATTTAAAATATAAAATACAATGTCATAACTGCAATCATCACACTATATACCAGCTCCTAGAATTTATTCATCTTACAACTGAAACTTTGTACCCTTGACCAAAATCTTTGCACTTTCCCTGCAACCCAGACCCTACAAACACCATTCTACATTCTGCTTCTGCGAATTTCATTTTTTACAATCCAGTATAAGTAAGATCATAGAGTATTTGTAGGAATCCCGCCTCAAGCACCCCGGTTCACTTAAGGTCTAGAGGTCTTTACTTGTCTTGGACAAGTCATCCAGCATATCCTCTTGCAGCAGCCTGACTGGAGTTCCTGGGGTCTCCCATCTGCATATCCCTTTCAAAGGATTTTCATTCTCTTATCTACTTCTCTCATCAAAGTTCTTTGCTGTTTCTTGTGGTGGGCAGGGAGGGAGAGGGAAGGGTGCCAGGGCTCCAAGTGAAAACATATTCCAAATGTCAAAGTTTCATAGCATACTCACCATCTTGGTGGCATTACTTATACGATACAATACAAACTGGTTGCCACTTTGGTTTCCGTCATTATATTTCTTCAGAGCAGCATCCACAGCCATCAGTACATCGTCATCATTGCAGTCAATTTCCTGTGAGAAGGACTCCTGACTTAAACTTGATAGCAGCCTGGAGCAGAAGAAAAGGATGGTAATTAATCTCATGATTTAAGAGTCTCCTTCTAGGCACTGAGAACTTTCCCCCCAACAATTGGGAGCCAGCCCAGATGCTGATTTTAACTATCTCCATCCTCTTACATCCTTGCTTCAGTGCTCTGGGACCCTGATTGGATCCCTGCCCTCATACATTATTTACCCTATTCCAAAAGGACAAATAACTCTCTGGTGGGCTAGACAAGCATTACAACACTGGGTTTGTTGACCTGCTTGTTTGCACTTGAGAAGCCTTGCGGGCACATGGCCCATGTTTCCAGGTAATTACATAAATTTATATAGCAGATCAGAGCAGAATCTAATAAAGGAGGAAGAAAAAACCCTAACCATCACTGTCAGCCTCATGGAACTTTCTCAAAGTTATTTACAAGGTCACTACATGTGGCAACAATGAGTCCAATGTGCAAACGACTTTCAAGATCATGGCAGCAATGTTTATAATAGCCCAGATATGAAAAAAAACTCAGTGCCCAGAAATAGATGAATAGATCTAGAAGATGTGGTATATAGTCACAAGGACTAGTTGTCAGTGATCAAAAGAGATAAACTCATGCCATTTTTTGGCAACATGAAAGGAATTGGAAGGAATTATATTAGGTGAAATTATTTGGAAGTAGAAAGACAAATAATGATAGTTGGCTTGTACGGGAAATACAGAGAAATCAAGCAAAGGTTGAATAAAGCCTAAGTTAAAAATTAACCCTTGAAAGTTGACTCTAGAAATGTGGAATCTAGGGGGGGATGAGGGGAGGGAGAGAATAGGGTAGGAAGGAAGCACAATGGACTATGGTGGTGAGGACTATGGGTGCTTTGCTGGTGGATGCACTATAGTAATTACACCTGAAGGGAGCCATCTTACAATTCCCAAAATATAAACAACAATGTAAACAAACATTATCTCAATTTAAACAATTTCTTATCATTCTACAGAGAGGTGGTAACACACACTTGAATGGAAGGTATAAAGATTTGCAATTCACTCCTTGCTTAGGCTCCACCCTCTCACTCTCCTGTACTGTAAATTCACATCAGAGGGAACATTTGGCATCATCAATGAAGCCACACCAACTCCTCACTATCACCCAAAGTCCATACTTTCTATTAGTGTCCACTTCTTGGGTTTCGACAAACGTATAAGGACATGTCTCCACCGAAGAATAGTTTCACCGCCATAACAGTCCTCTGTACTCTGCCTGTGCCTCCTTCTCTCCCCTCAATTCCCTGGTAACCACTGATCTTCTCTTACTATTTCTATAACTTTGCCTTTTCTAGAATATCATAGAGTTGGGATCTTCAGTTTGTAGCCTTTCATATTGGAAGGAAAGCAGAGCAACTAGGTGCAAAGAAAAAAATAGACTTCTCATAACTGTACTTCTGCCAGCAGGTTAGAACCCGCTTGCAGCAACCACAGAGCTAGACAAGAAACAGATTCAGGTATTGTTAAAATACACATTTAAAAGTAAAACTGCAAATGCTTTTTGATCAATTAGTGAATAATCAATTTGATGGCAAATGGCACTGCGTGATTTATTGATAACATTGGTTAATTAGCATATAAATTCTTGACATAGGAAAAGGGGAAGAGTGTAGATCCTTGAGAATGGCCCAGGAGAACCACCAGCCTAGAAGGCTGCCAGGCCTTGTTTAGATATGTTTATTAAGGAAGCAAACTTGTCTTTTACTTACATTTCCATGTCTATGGCTCTTTAGCAGGGAAAGAGTTCCCTTTTTAAAAAAAAAAAAAAGATTTATTTATTTATTTATTTATACAAGCACTGGGTACAGTCAGAAGCACGGGAGGGTGAGAGAATTCACCAGAACCAGAGCTGGGAGCAGAGCAGGCAGAAGGACCGAGGTACACTGCTGAGGGGAGCAGCAGGCGGCAGGAGAGGTCTGCGCGCCATGCGGGACCCTCCTCCAGTGGCCAGGGAGCAGCCGGGGATCGAACCGGCACTGCAGAGGCTGCGGGCAGCTTCGCAACCCAGCGCTCAACCGCTGCGCCACCAGGGAAGCCCTGCTTTTACCTTTTGGACTGATTCTTTGTTGACCTGTGTTCAGCACACCTGCGCCTCCCCCTCCCCCCACCCCGCCAGCCTAACACATTAACTCTTTCACTTAGTGATATGCATGTGTGAGTCCTCCATCTATTTTCATGGCTTGGTGAGCATGATTTTTGGTTCTGAATAACATTCCATAGTCAGGTTATATGGCAGTGTGTTTATCCACTCACCGACTAAAGCATCCTTGGTTGCTGTAAAGTGCTGGAAATTGTGAATAAAGTTGCCATAAACATCTGTGGCAGTTTTTGTGTGGACATATATTTTCAGCTCATTTGAGTAAATTGAGTAAATTGTGACCACTGGACCATGTGATAAGAGCATGTTTAATTTTGCAGAACCTGCCCACTGTCTTCCAAAGTGACTGTCCTCTTGCTTCCCACCAGCCAGGAACAGCGCTGTTGTTCCATGTCCCCACCTGCCTCGGCTGCTGTCACGTTGGATTCTGGCCTTTCTAATGGAGTGTGGTTCCAGGTCAGTGCTGCTTTAAGTGTTAGTTTCCTGATGACACGATGTGGAGAGCCTTTCGATGTACTTATTTGCCATCTGTCTCTCTCTCTGGTGACCTCAAGTTATTTTTTACCTCTTTTTAATGGAGTTGCTCATTTCCTTATTCTTGATTTTTGAGGGTTCATTATTTTCTATGCAGACCTTTACCACACGTGCCTTTTGTAAACACGTTTTCCTAGTCTGTGGCGTATCACTTAGCCTCTCAAACAATTATTTTTTTTCTTTACCACAAAGGAATTAAGCTGGATATGATTTAGACTATATCTTAGTGATGTAAATACACATAATAAATGGTCATACATGTGCTAGATGCATATTCAAGTAATAGGGTGAATGATCTAAAAATTTAGAAACCACTAATGCCTGGAACAAGTCAAGATTCCTTAAATGGCCTTCAGAGTCTTACAAAATCTGCTCCTTCCCCTGCTCTGTCCTACTTCCTGTTCATGCTGGGCTTTACACAGTTTCAGCTGCTACATCAGTCTGAGCAATTTGGTGTTTCTTGTCCCTGGGCCACCTCACGCTTCTCCTGTCCACACTCCCTCCTCTCCGCTCCCCAACACCATCTGTCTCAGCGCCCTTCCAAGACCCACCTCAAATCCCTTCTTCTTCAAAAAATCTCCCCTATGTTCACATGAAAACCTCACCTTTTCCTGAACTATTCTGTGCATAAAGCCCTTTAATTGTATTTTTGTGGCTATTCGCTGACGTGTTTCAGATTGTCTGGTCTATTTAACTCATCCATTTATTCCTTAGCCTACACAGGACATTGCCTTTTTATAAAGACTCAGATAAACTCTCTGTTCAGATGAACATGGTATAAGGACACCACTTCCCTGTCCACCCCCCCCACCTCTCCCACCCAGGGGCAGAGGGAGAGCAGGGAGGCTCAGTGTTCTCTGCTACCCTCAGGGCCCACAACAGGGGATGACACTCTCCCCTCTGCACCACATTGAGGATATTTTACTGAGGTCCCTGACATGCTCAACTCCTCTGCCATTGGGCTGCCCATTCCCATACTTGTCTCTATTACTCTGACATCCCTGGAGACGCCCCCACGTTCATCCACAGCTTTAGTCTGTCCTCTGCTGTCCCATCACCATCAACTCCCTGCTGATGGCCACCGACCCAACATCTGAGTTTCTCCCCCACCTCCCCTCCTCTATGACGCCTCTGTTTCTGCACACTCATGTCCCCACCATCACACCCTCATGGAACACGGGTCTCCTTCATGGACAGCAAAGCTTGCTGCACTGTTTCTCTGCCTTTAACCACCTTTTCATCCACCTCTCTTTAATCCTTGGTCAGGTTCAACCTGATTTTCAGCCTCAGACCCCTTTAGTTCATCTGTCTGTCTGATTAGTCTAATCCACTGCACTCTCCTAGTTTCACCTCCTTGTCTGTGAGTCCCAACCCCAGTCAGTCATCTCAATGATCCTTTATCAGTATCTTTTTGAATATTGAAGTGTTTTCTTCATCACATGCCTTTCTAGGGTTCATATCCATGACTTCCCAAACCTGTCCCCAGCCTTCCTATTGACCGTCAACAGGAAATTCCTATTTTCTATATTAAATAAATGTCCTCAGTTAGAAATTCCCTCCAATAGCTCCAAAGTCACCCATTCTAATGTCCTCTCTTGTTCAGAGTAACTGTCTTTCTCCTGCCTCAGCCTACACTCCACCAACCCCCTTACCTCCCCTAATAATTTTCATCTTCCCAGTATCCTTTCTACCTGATCAACAGCCTCCCCTTTTCCACTGACACAAATGTTGGTAGGTAATCCCCATCCTAAAAAGACACTTTCCTTTGATCCTGCCTCCCTGTCAAGCCACTTCCCCGTTCCTTGCTTTCCCTTTATCATCAAATCTCCTTTAAAAAAAGTTCTCTTAAATTTTTTAAAAATGCTAAAAGCTTATTAAAGAAAATTCAGGAGAGCAAAAGAATAAATATAATACCTCCATAGTCTTTTATCTCAAACACCAACACTAATAATAATTTTTTGTGTTGTAGTGATTCTATTGCTCACTCCCAATCCCTAGGGGGATTTTATAAAACAGTATAATCACCCTGTACATTCTTTGGTCTATCCAGTTTTGTAAATTAATACCTTAACATAAACATTTTCTGTTACTGCACAAACCTAGCTAACATAATTTGTCAGTATTCAAGCAAATGGACATACCATCACTTACTTAACCATTCTCCTATTGTTGGATAGATAGGGTTACCACCTCCTCATTGTGGTAAGTAACAAGCATAATAAAATTATTATGCATACAATTCTCAACGTTTATGAATACCTTCCAAGGTGAGAGGCCCAGAAATAGAACTAAGATTACAACATAAAATGAATATTGTCTCATTAAGACATGTGTCGCAGGATGAAAAAGATTTCTCAGAGTCCAAGCGGAAATTGGAGCAATAAGCCTATAGGGACAACACAGAGAGGAGTCCGAGGTGCAGCCCAGCTCCAAGGGCAATCTCATTTTTATTTAGAATCAAGCATGAGATAAAAAAAAAAAGATCAAACAGGCAAACAGAATGCATAAGTGTGTGGAGGACATGAAACCAGTTCGCTCCAGCCATGGCTAGGAAATCAGGGTGCTTCAAGGGAAGCCTCAGTGTTTTTACTAATCTAAGCATAACATCTATTGCTGTTCTCAGAATGTATAGATCCTCATACAAGGACTTTTTTCATGAGAGTTTCCTTATCTCAGACCTTCCCTGTTCGCACTCTGGGTGAGAGGCACAGAATAGACAAGGCACAGAATAATCATGGCAAAGACAGAGTAGTTGAAGCATGGAACAATCAAAGCCCCCGCAGAATATTTTAAGGTCGTTGATTTTATTATCAAATTATTCTCCAAATAGATTTTGCTAAAGGATACCGCCAAAATACAAGTGCCCAGTATACTCAAATTTTGCCATCACTCAACATTATCATTGTCTCTGTCAAAGAGATAACAGCCTTAGTAATTAAGAAATAATTTATTTCATCTCTGTCACATCTCAATCCATTGTATTTCAGTTTATATTTATTCTAATACAACAGAATTGATCTGGAGCTATTGATGGCCTTATTTTCCAAAACACTGATTCACTGATTCGTTACGTCATCTTATATTGTTCAGTTCCTGCGTATTTGCTGCTGTTGTCTACGTCCTATTGCCTGCTCTTTCTCTACCTCTACCTCCTCCAGTCATCCCTAAATGTTAGAGTCCCTGGGTTTCTATTGTGACTCTTCTCACTTCAAATGCTCTACCTGGGTCTATGGCAGATTCCATGACTCAATTCTCTAAGAGATTTTACCCTAAAAAAAATAAGAGAGATTTTACCCTATACATTTCCTTCTTTCTGCTGTATTTTTAATTGCTCCTTCTTTAATGACTTTACACCGACAGCATAGAAATGTACTCAAATCTCTTTTCTTTCTTTAAATGTCTTTCATCAACCCCAGGGGAGGTGTCACTAGAGAGCACCCACCTTTGAGGCCAGGCGGACACTGAAAAGGGTGACAGCAGACTTTACCTGGAGGCCATGGCCTCTGATGTAAGCCCACCTGAGGCGAGGGCCTCTTGCATGAACAGGAACTAGATCAAAACATGGGGGTGTATATTGGCTTTGCCCTACAGTTAATGGATAATAGTACTGAGCCAACAAGATCCATAATGAAGGAGAACAACAAACACCACCCACTCACTGACAAAACAACAGATTTGGGGATTTTGAGTTCAACCCTGGCTTGGCTGTGCACCCCCACTCTTAAAGCACCAATAGGGATTGTTCAAGTCCGTTGATAATCATAATTTCCCACTGTATAAATAATACGTGGTTAATAATTTTTTACTATAATAATTATTTTGTTATACTCATTGACTATTTTATTATAATTATTGATAATTTTGTTATTCTTATTTCATTTTAGTCATTTTCTTATAATTAATTGAATTATAAGAAATATATTATATTTATATTTATATACATTTATATATATTTATATATATTTATATTTCTATATTTATTTTTATATAATGAATATCATTATAATTACCCAATAATTTGTTGAGTAACTTATTTTTAATTAACTTACTATAAGTTATTTTATTACACCTGATTTATAAGAATTAGATATTACTAATTATAATTGATTATTTAAACAAGTTAGATTAATTATATTAATTTAATATTAATAGCTAATAATAGATTGTGGAGAGATACTTTGAGATAAAACAGATAATCCATTTCATGTAAAATTGTCACTTAATATTAACATCAATTGATGATACTTGCCTGAATTAGTTACTACAATGATAGAAATAATGTTAATTTTCTAAATCTATCATGCTTTCAACATTTAATAATTGTTATTTTATTGTCAGGGATGGCTCTTGATATGAAATCTTTTTCTTTTTAAACATAACCACTTACCTGTTCAAATATCCCTCTAAGCAAAATTTTTGTTGCATCTATAATTGCTTATGTGTTTTGTTTCTAATTATATCAAAATATTTTACAATTTTCTTTACGATTTCTTCTTTGGCAATTTGGCTACATAGCTGTGTTTTAAAATCTTCAGTTTTGGTGAAATTCCCAAGTTACTTCCTTTTATTAACATCTAATATCATTATTTTGCATCTCTGTGATTTGAGAGCCCATTACTTTTTAGCACTGAATAATGTTCCACTCCCTGTATGGACCAGAGTTTCTCTATCACACTATTGAACAAGTTTCAGCAATTATGAGAGGAGTTGATATAAGCATTCCCATGCAGATTTTTATTTTGACATGAGTTTTTAATCATTTGGATAATAACAAGGAACACAACTGCTGGAACATATGGTAACATTGTGTTTATCATTGTAAGAAATTGCCAAACTGTCTTCCAATGTGACTGTACCATTTTGTATGCCCAAAAGCAATGAACTTTCTTGCTGCTCCATATTCTCACCAACGTTGAATATTGTCACTGTTCTGGATTTTGCACTTTCTAAAAGGCACATAATGGTATCCATTGTTGTTTTAAGCGTTCATTTCCTAGTGGCATGTGGAGCATGCTTTCATATGCTTATTTTGCTGCTGAATATCATTTTTATGGAGATGTCTGCTCCAATCTTTTGCCTTTTTTTCACAATCAGGTGTTTCATTATATTATAGCTGAACAAGTCATTTTAAAAAGTTCATCAAAGAGAAACTTTATTTTTTTTTAAATTTATTTATTTATGCATACATAACTGGGGTACAGGCCAGAGGTGTGGGGGTTGAGAGGATTCACCAGAGATAGAGTAGGGAGCAGAACAGGCAGACTGACTGAAATACACTGCTGAGGGGAGCAGCGGGCGAGACACAAGAGGTCTGCCACGCCATGTGGGTAGCTCCTGGGCCAGGAATTGAACTCGTGTTGCAGAGGCTGCAGGTAGCTTCACAGTGCTATGCTCAACCCCTTGCACCACCAGGGAGGCCCCAAAGAGAACTTTTAATATTACATATATCTCATCACCTCTTCAGTATAATATTGATGTTGGCAATTTAAAATCACTGATTATTGTAACACAAAGACATCAAATGCTTCATGATTGCAGCACTTTGAGACTATAGTAAACACTGTTAGATTAGCTGCCTGCATGGAATTTGCAGAATAAGAAAGGAAAATCCAACTCAACTGCAAGAGAAACAGATTTCCAGGAGAGGAAAAGTGGCAGAGGTTGGAAATGGTACAGGGAATGCTCAGTTAATGAACTTGCAAGTGAAAGGGATGCAGAGAGAGTGCAGCCCTCTGCTGGGTCTCTGTTCCTTGAATGAGGTGGTATTAGGGAAAGATTCATCACAGATGAATTGCCGTCATATAAAGAGTCAAGCATACCCTTAGATGAAAGGGTGAAAATATCAGTGAGAGAAAGACAAGACAGACATCCAGCTATGGCCCGGGCCCTTGGAGGTATAGGAGGCCGGAGGCCCAGTGCACAAGTGGACAATTGACTTCATTATTTCTATGTCCAGTCAACATGCTGAGACTAAGAGGAATCAAAGAGGTATTTATTAGCAACTTTCTACATTTGAACTGCCTCCTTCCCCTTTTCCCACCACTTCTCATCTCCTTTGGCCACCAGATGACCACGGGGTCCTCGATGTGGTTCTCATGGAGGAAGAACAAGAGGGTTGTCCTCCTGGGCTGGTCCTGGGCACTCAGCAGAGCGTTGTTCTTTGGAGGGGAAAGGTAGCACAAGCACTGTCTCCCTCTCAGGCCCCATGAAAAGGAAGGAGATATCCAGGGTATCTCCCTGGGGATTCCTGGTTAGATCCAGATGCACAGGGAAGGCCTCCTGGGACCCTTCAGGCTTCCCATCATCTAGGTCCGGGAGGTATTGGACAGATCCTTTTGGCACCACTGTGGCTGGTGCATCAGTAGGAGCTGCTTTTTTCTGCTGGGACTCTTCCACTTTGGGCAGGTGTGCAGGGCCTTGGTTAACAGCAGAGTTTTCACCACCAAGAGCAGGAGCCTGAAATAAGAACACTTTCAAATAAAAGACTTCCCCCATCCCCCTCGAAATCCCTGCCAGGGATTCAGGCTAAGCTATTCTGTGCCTTCCTGATGGACTGTTTCAGAGGGAGACCAGCTGTAGGGATGGATCTTTGGTTAAGGGTTAAAAAGTAAGACTAGTAAGGGCCAGGGGAACCAAGTCCTGTAGAAACGTGATGGCAAGTCGTGCAAACTCAGACTTGACAATGGTGCAGTGAGGTCTAATGAATTTTTCAGTCCCCAATGATCTGTCCCCCTGCTCCCAGCAGAGGTAACAAAGCCACTTATTGTTAATGGCTTTTCTTCCAGGCCAAGTACAGTGACCCCCATTCAGGTCTTAATGGTAGTTTTTACAGTGATCTGAAAGAGGGAGCTGTTGTAATCACCCTGGTAGGTGAGACAATTAAGGCTCAGAGAGGCAGTCTGCACCCCTGGTCACACAGCTTGCAGCTGGCAGACAGGACTGAACCCCAGGAGGCCGATCTCCACCCCCTGTACTATACTTCAGTAATTGATAAACACATACTTCTGGGAAGAGATTATTTCCCTGGAAACAACTAACCCTGTGGTTCTGCATAATGGTGCTTAGGACATGGAATTTAATGTCAGAAGCTTGAGTCATCCTATCTAGTAGGTTCCTAGCACTGAAGGAGCTTAGCTTATTCTGTAGGACAACACTGTTTCTAAAACACAGCCTGACGGATCTTTCACCAGCCACCCTTGGGTGTGGTATTAGGGCATCATGAGTAAAGTGGTGATCATAGACTTTAGGAAATTGAAAGGAGAGATGAGGGAGGGGAAGTTAAAATAAAGATAAATCTGCAGTTTCTGCCACCGGAAGAGAAACAAATAAATTTTTAAATTACCTGTGATTCAAAGAAGTTACAAGTCACGGAGACAAAAGTTTCTATTCTATTTTGGCTCAGTGAACCTTTGCACAGACCAACAGGCTGAAAAAAAAAAAGGAGAAAAAAAATGATGTGGTGTGAATATAATTATAGTGATCATAAAGCTAATCAACTTGCTTCCTGCTTACATAGATACACAACAATCAATATTTTATGCTCCTACTATGTAAAAGGCAGGCTATGTGCCACCCTCCTTTAGATCATCCTATCAATCATCATGGATATTAGGCTAAATTTCCTTCAGTGATGGGAAACTCAGGATTTTCTGAGTAACAAATCTGATTGCTAGAAAATTCTTTGAAATGAGTAGAAATCTATGTTAATGCAATTCTGACCTGTTGGCTTTAGTTCTACCACTGAAAGTTATGTAAAATGCCTTTGTACTCTTTTCTCCAATTTTCTTGGAACTTGGAAGAGCAAAGGTAAGCAAAAAATGCCAGAGTTGAAAGAGTGAAATAGTCCTGCCCCTCTTCCTCACATGAGGCCTTAACTCTAAATCAGGCTTGAGGTACAGAGAGAAAAGTTTGAACTGGACATGAGATAGTCTTTGATTCAGAATTGACTGAACAGCATTATCTCATAAAATACCTGAAAGTCATCCTTAGTTACCTAAGTGAAATCAGTCTTCCTGAAAATGACCAGAAATCCCAAGATATCATTGCCAGGAGAGAAAGAGATTCCGCAGAATATGGTGAAAATGTTTTCCCAATTCATTCTTAAATAAATTGAGAATATTCAATTGAATGGTTACAGAAGGCTATTGAGAAACATTGTGGATTCAAGGACACACAAAAACTGAAATTTAAAAAGGAAAATATTTACAATGCAAACAGTAATCGAAAGAGAGCTGGAATGGCTATACAAATGTCAGACAAAATTGACTTCAGACAAACTGTAACTAGAGACACACACACAAAAAAAAAACCCCCACATTTCACATGATAAGTGTCAATTCAGTAAGAATGATATGCCAGGTATAAATGCATGTGCACATAAGTAATACAGCCCAATGTATACATGTCAAAACTGATAGAACTCAAGGGATGTGTGGACAGTTAAACAATTATTGGAAACCTCACTTTTCAATTATGGATAAAATAAGTATACAGAACACCAACAAGGAAATAGAAATAGCATTATTTCATAAAATAATGGACAGCACTATGAAAGTGAACTAAACCTAAGAGAAAATCACAAGATACTCTACCTAAGAACAGAATATATTCTCCTCAACTATACGTGGAACATTCTCTGGGATATATCTCATATCAAAACCTAAGACAAGCCCCAATAAAATTAAAATGTCTGAGATCATGCAAAATATGTCCTCCAACCACAAAGCAATGATATTAGGAATGAGTAACAGAAGAATTGGAAAATCTGACTAGAACTTCTACCAAAAAGCGATTGAATTATCAACACACACACAGAGACAGAGAGAGAGAGAGAAAGACAGAGAGAGAGAGAGAGAAACCCAGGTGCAGACAGCATCACTGGTAAATTCTACTAAATATTTAAAGAAGGATAAACATCAATCCTTCACAAACTTTCCCAAAACAATAGAAAAGAGCAAAAATTTCTCTTCATTCTATGAGGCCACTATTAAATGCTTATAAAAATCTTACAGGGTCAACACAAGAAAACCAGTGGCAATATTTCCTCTGAATATACAATAAAAATCCTTTTTTAATTACTGGACAACTGCTTTCAGCAATATTTAAAGAGGTTTATACACCATGATCAACTGGGATTCATTCCCAAAATTCAAGATTATTTTAACAACAAAAATCAATAAATCATTGTAAATCTATAACCTAATTTTCTACCTTTAGAAAGTAGAAAAAGAATAAACTTAATCCTAAGGAGAAAAATCAAAGGATTATGTCAATCAAACAGATAAGAATTTCACAAAGTCCAGCACTGCTTTCTGATAAAAACATTCAATAAATTATGAATAGAAAGAATTTTCTCAACCTAAAAAAAGGTGACATATGTAAAACCTATGACTAACAGCATGCTAAAAGAAATACAGAACGTCTTTTCCCTAAAATCAGGAATTAGATGAAGATGTCCAATCTCCCCACTTCTATCCAACATTGTATTAGAAGTTCTAGTCACAGAAATTAGGAAAGAAATAGAATCAAAAGGTATGCAGATTGGAAAGCAAAAAGTAAAAAAAAATTCTATTTGCAGGTGACATAAGCCTGTATGAGAAATCCTTAGGAATCCACTAGAAAGCTATTAGAGCTAATAAATGAATTCAGCAAGTTTAAAGGATACAAGGTCAATATAAAAAAAGTAATTGTATTTCTACACATTTGCAATAAAGAACCCAAAAATGAATTTAAGAAGGTATTTCCACTACATCAGTATAAAAGAGAAGGGAATATTTAAATATACAATAGTGAAAAGTTTGTACAAGGAAAAGAAATCACTGAACACACAATTGAAAGAAATTAAGTCTCATGTTCATAGATTAGGAAGACTTAATGATGATTTGATATACTCCTATGAAATTTCCAACTGCCTTTTTAAGAACAAAACTGTCAAGCTGAATGCAAAATTATTAGGAAAACACAAGGGATCCAAAATACCCCAAATAATTTCACTAAGAACAAAATAGAATTTTCGATGCATTTTGCCCAACTGTGTTACACCACAGGGTGCCACTGACATTCCCAGCAGGTGTGGGAATTCTCATGGCTTCAAGTTTCCCTCCTCACCTCGGATGCTTTCTGTCAATGAAGACTTGTATTGACTTGCTCCTTCTGAGGGAGTAGTCCAGGGAAAGGAACACCAAGATGGATTCCAAATATAACTGGATTTGTCCAGCTAAGGACAGTCATTGAGGAGATTCATCCACACTTTACAGCCTACTGTGATCATTTTTACAAAACCATCACTTTGCTGATGGGAGGCACTTGTAACAAAATAAAATATTATCAGTGCAGGTGGGCCAGCACAATCTCTATTAGTCAGTTGCATCCTGAGGTGAGCAAAAGCATCTCATACATTATAAAACCTCATTTACAATTTAGAATAGAAAATGAGTATGCTTAATAAATATTTCTCATGTGTGAACACAAATCTTAAATTCTGAAGAAATTCAGAGATACTCACCTCTGAGTCAGGAGACTGATGCGTGCAGCTGCTGGCCTGGGATTTGGTAGAAGGTGCCTCTTTGATTAAATATTCCACAAAGTATGACGGTCCAAACACCCACTGGATGAGACAATAATTGAGAAATAAAAATCAGACTTCCCATGTAGGGAAATGTTGACTAGCAGCATGATTTTTACAGAACCATATATGCCCAAGTTGGGGTTAGCATGGGTATCCCAGTGTCCCTGTAAACCCACCATGAACAAAGCATGCAATAGGATTCTGATATGTAGAAAATAACCACCATACCTCCCTCCCCTTCTCAGGAATGAACAGGCTCTAAAAGCCTTCACTTGGGTGACCTCATTTTTCCTCAGGTAAATTTATTTTTAGATTAGTTTTCCTCATTTTGATAGATAGCAACATAATGCAAATACAATTGAGCCTCCATTTCCCTCAGCATCCACTCCCAACCCTAACATGAACAGAAGCTAACTTGTTGAATGGCCTTCAGTCACTCAGATCTGAAATGTAGCAATAAACAGTGACCCCAAGTAGAGAAACCCAGACACTGGGTTTCACATTTCCCTCCTTGCCTTAAGGCCAATGAAATAAAGGAGTCACACACTTGTGGAAATCCTATGAAGCTCAGACACTGAAACATGATTGCGCGGGCATCAGGTATTCCAAGACAAGAACCCAAGAGGCTGCTTATCAAAAGACAGCCCTGACAGTCTCCTCTCAGCTCTGGCTCCATGGCTACACGCGGGAGACTCGCTGTTGGTGTAACCACCAGGGGCGTTCCGTCTCACCTGGGTGGAAGCCTTGGTGACTTTGACCAGAGAATACTGCTTTGAGGTGCTCTCACTGTTGTATTTTGCAAGAGACTCAGTGGCAGCTTCCAAGACCTTGGGATCTGATAAATCACTGGGGCTGGGGCAGTCGGGGCAGATTAGGTGAATGCTTCTTCGAGAAACTGTTAATGTCAAAGAGCACACTTGAGTCATAAAGATCCTTCATGATTTTTTTTTTAAAGATTTATTTATTTTTACACAAGAACTGGGGTACAGGCCAGATGCGCAGGAGGGTGAGATGATTCATCAGAGACAGAGCAGGGAACAGAACAGGCAACTGAAGAAACACACTGCTGAGGGAAGGTCTGCCTTACCAGGTGGGATCCTCCCCTCCCGGGATCAAACCATGCTGCAGAGGCTGTGGACAGCCTCACAGTGCTGGCGCTCAACCTGCTGCACCACCAGGGAGGCCCAATCCTTCATGATTTTTTTTTTTTAAAGATTTATTTATTTTTATTTATACAAGCACTGAGTACAGTCAGAAGCGCGGGAGGGTGAGAGAATTCACCAGAGCCAGAGCAGGGAGCAGAGCAGGCAGAAGGACCGAAGTACACTGCTGAGGGGAGCAGCGGGCGGCAGGAGAGGTCTGCGCGCCATGTGGGACCCTCCTCTGATGGGGGAGCAGCCGGGGATCGAACCAGCGCTGCAAAGGCTGAGGGCAGCTTCGCAACCCAGCGCTCAACCGCTGCACCACCGGGGAGGCCCTCCTTCATGATTTTTAATCCTACATTTATATGACCACAACAGAGACAGAGATTGTAAATAAAAAATAATGCTGAGTTTCATCAAGGATGGAGTGGAAATGACATTCTCTGAATAGAAAGCTGTCAGTTTTGTGCAATGAGTTTTGTACAATGAGTGCTACATTGTGAAAGGTAGCAATAAACAGTGAGTGATCCCAAGTAGAGAAACCCAGCAGTGAGTTTTGTGCAATAAGAATGTATTACACTCACAATTAAAGAAAAATCAAAACAAGGTTTTCCCCCATCACACATTTATGTATGAGACAGAATTTTGTTTAAAACACATAATATATATGTTTATATTGATATAAAGACTTTTTAAAATTATTTCAATATCTTCCAGAAGCATTGCCTCTGTAGGAGTTTGGGTGTCTTAAAAGATTGAGATTTCATTACTGTCATATCTTTTCACCTTTTAGTCCCTAACATCAAACATAATATCTAATGCACAGTAATGCTTAGCAAATATTTGTTGAGTGAATGAATAACCCAACCCAATAGAAGCTGGGAGCTCCGAAAGTGTTCTGTTAGACAATTCAAATAAGTCAGAAAACAAAAATTGATTAAGTCACTGTATGACTGGATAGAATTATTACACTAGCAGTACTGTCAGAATTTCTGATGGGGAGCAGGTGGGGGTGGCAAATCTAGTGAGAAAGTTCATCAGGGGACTTGACTGAAGTTCAATTTTTAGAGTAAACATATTGTTCAGACAGACAACTTTTTTAAAAAAACATTTGTTTTAGTCATGTGTGTGTTTACTGTGGGAGAATTTGAGAACTGATGGAGGTTATGGAGGAGTCCAGCTTACCACTCTTGACACTATTCCAGGGGTCACTTCTGACCCACTATACCAACATTTATGTTCACTCTGCCTGATTAATTGTTGTTCTCCAATTTATACTAGACAAGTCCCATTTTTATACCCAAGAATCTTAAACAGGGGTATGTAAATATTTGCCCTTTTGCCTGTCCCTCCAAGAAACCAGCAGCAACTATCACCCGGAGCTTGTTAGAAACACGGACTCAGGCCCCACCGCAGATTTAGGGAATCAGAATCTGCACTTGAACGAGACTGACCAGGGGAATCGCATGCAAATAATAGTTTACTGAGCAGTCATATCCCATTTCCCAGGTCCTGGATGCTGCTTATTCAAGCAGGACCCAGAATCCATGTACTTTCATATTTCAAAAATCATGACTTTTAGCATTATCTTAGGACATTTGTCTTTTAGACATCATAATGGACTAAATACATATGGCAGGATTAAGGGAGGGTTGTAGCAGGCAGCAAGAGATGAAAGGTTTCCATGACATATGACTAAAGACCCCCCAAATCAAGGCAGTGCATGGTGTGAGCTCCGGGAGTGGTCTGATTAAAGTTTTACTGGGATGTAGAGAGAACACCAGTCATTTCTTGAACAGAGAACATTGTGGAAGAGAACACAATGGAAGAACATTGTGGAAGAACATTGTGTCAATGGTCCTCACAGAATGGACATGAGTTCCAAGACAGAGGCTATCAGGGGAGGCATCCTCAGCAGAAGGAGCCAAATGAGCAGGAAGCCTAGGCTGGAAAGTATAAGGTGTGTTCAGAAAACAGGGAGGCATCCAGCTGCGTGGAGTGCAGAGTGGTGCATTCACAGAGATAGCCACCATATCTTCAGACATGGTGAGAAAGGGCACCTGAGCACCAGATGTAGAAATTATGACATTTGTAACAGACCAAAGAGTTAGGATTTCATACTCAATGCTGAGTAATTACTGTGGGTGATTGTGGAAGTGGGAAGTGCCAATACTGGATACAGCAGGAACATGGTCTTGGAATGAATAGATTGTAAGAAAGGAAAATTTCTACACATGTGGGCATTGCCCTATTTAAATGCTTTTTGCTCTTATTTTTAAAAAATGAACAAAATTAAATTAATCTCTTACCTGGGCGAAGAGTACAGTTATAAGAAAGTGTATGGAGAATTCTAGCTGTCTTGTGCATATAAAATAATGCTTTGCATTGACCATAAACCTGGAACAAACACATGCATTTTATGACATGGAAGAAGAGTCTAAGACTTAAAAAAAAAAAAAAAAACCCAAACTAAACATTTTATTTTTAAGTTCTGAAAAGCTGAATGACTATTCTGGTGGCTTTGACTGTGGGAAACCACCAGCTGATTATCAAGCAGTTTAACCTACTTCCGGGGCACAGCTAAACTATATCCCCCACACTCCTTCCTGGTCCCGTGTGACTGGGCACAACTGAGTTGTAACACAGGAAGGTGAGCGGAAGTGACTGTAACCACTGCCAGGTTGGGCCCATGAAGACCTCCCCTGAGTGATCTGCCCTCCTGCAGCTGGTTCTCTTGCCAGAGCTGAGGCAGATGTGCTGGTGACCCCAGAAGCCTGGACTAGGAGGTGGCAGAGTCACAGCCACAAAGCAGAAAGACCCCAGGTCCCCTAATCACTCCTGGAGAAAATGACTTCTTGATCACACATTTCTATTTTGAACTTTACATGTGTCATGTTGGAATCAGCACACACTTTGAAGTCTATTATTTTCACAGCTAGTGCCTCCTTTAAAAGTATAAAATTTTCAGCAGGGTAAATAGATTATTTGCTTATCAAAATCAAGTAGGTGCAAGTTGACAAATTTGAGTAAATAATTGGAAAAGTTATGTTGATCAAACAGCTTCATAACATGATCCTGCACGCATGTTATGAACTTTCTATTGATAAATGGAAATAATGCCCACATAATGAGATTATTGAAAACTGACTTATTTTTAAGCCTCTCCCACGATCATCACTAAAAGGATTCATTCTAAGTCATTTTAGTTCTTTGATTCTGGAAGATCCTTTGAGAGTTGCCACAATATAAGTTTTCTACTCCCCAGCAGAAAGCCTCATCAGTGTTTGTGAAAATAAAATTTAAAAAAATACAAAAACTCTCTCTCCACCACTCCCACAGTTTTCCTTAAACACACAATTTTAAGGGTCTTTATTTCACAAGTTAAACACTGACTTAGCATCTAAAAGAGAGTCTTGGAGGTAGACAATAATTTGGGGCAGTTTTTCAATTCTGAATTTCATAACCCCAAGGGTCTCTCAGAAACGCCTCAGAAAATGAGCTAAACATTATTTTGTTTATAGAACTAGAATGAGCACAAGGCACCATGTCCAGGAGATGATATTGATTGGCTTTTAAAAGATGATCAACCTGAACAACCTTCATCCATACACAGAGGACACCTCTTTGCCCCTTGCAGCCCCTGGACACAAGCACTTACCGATTCATGCAGTGACCTCCCCCCACAGTCCTTCCAAGGCTTCCTGCTGAGCACGTGGCAGTCAGTCTCTAATACGTCCAGGGTGAGATAGTACAGAGCTGCCGGTCCGTCCTGTAACAGGGGCAGAGAAAGGAACCACATTCCACATGAGCAGCAACCCCTACGGACTAGCCCCTAAAATCTCTGTTTTATAGCAGAGTCACGGCTAAGATGATTGCCAAGATCTAGTGGGACAACCAGGTGTAGCGTGGGGAGGAAGGGGACCAGGGACCTGGTGTTCTCCGTGGTCTCACCTCTTCTGGAGTCACACCACCCGCCCTCTCGGAGCTATTCTCTGCCTCTGTGTGACTCTGCCTTTATATCCCTGGCATCTAGGCTCTTGCACATGTTCTCACCCATACTCCAGGTGTCCAACATCAAGCACAGGTGCCCCGCATCCATGTTCCCAAGCACCTTCTACATGAGCATGATCAAGGCCACAGGTGATAGCCACAAATTCTAGTGGTGTAAAAGTCTGATTAATCCATCTACCCTACACAAGACTTCTTATCAAGCCTGGAATACTAGACAAGGGCAACAGCTTTGTCTCTAGTGACAATAAGAGCATTGCAGACACCCTGGCAGAGGAGAGCAGAGCTGCTCAGCAGCTTCCAATTTGGAAAGCACCGGCAACATGTGTCCCTGGACCCCAGCCCTGGCCAGCCCAGCGAGCACCTGCCCGGGTAGGGGACCATCACTTGCCTGTCTGTGTTCACGGACATCGCTCACTCGGTTGAGGCTCAGCACGTAGCCATCCTTGCGGTCCCTGTTGATGTCCCCCAGGGCAAAATTAGCAAATGACAGCACATCTGAGTCATTGCAGCCACGGGAGAGTAAAGGTGATGTTTTGAGGACTTGCTGGGGTGGAGATGTAGCCCCAGAGCCCACAGCCAGGGCGCAGAGCACCAGGGGCAGGAGCAGACCCATTCTGTGGGGAGCAGATCACAGGATGTGTCAGTACAGGCAGCTATTTATAAGGAAAAGCTATTTATAAGGACTTCAAAGACCAGTCCAAACAGTTTTATAATTCTAATTGGAACGGGTGACCAGGATACGAATTTTAAATTTTATGTATCTCAGTCAGTAATTTGGATGACATTTGCCAATATTTTTAACCTTAAATCATCTATTTCTTCTACAGGACCTAATCCTGTGTGTGTCAAACAGTTTCCTAATTGTTGCCCATGAAATTATAATAAACACCTGTGTCAAGACTCCCTCTTGGTGGTGATTGGATTCCACGTGTCCAGGGATCCGCCTGCATCAGAACATGCAGGATTCTCACACCCTCCCCGGTCCCCTTGCACCTCCCTCCAGCGGATGTCCTCGGCCACACTTGGACATGTCCCGGCTTAGGGCCCTGGTGCCCGTGGTGACAAGTGCTTTCAGACTCCCTGAGAAAAGAGTCAGAAATGGAGGGACGTGTCTAGATTGGAATATCATGGAAGTGTAGTCCATGGATCAGCTTCCTGCCCTCCCTTCTCCCCCTCCTCCTACTCCTGTCCCCAGTGGTCTTTGCTCAGGTAAGTGTAAGCCCTGCTGCACCCACAGAAGCAGGATCTAGGAGTGCATCTGTAGGGTAAGGAAAAATGTCAGGCTTTTCTGCCCTCCCGCCATCAGGATAGATGATGGATCCTTGCGGTCCTGAAAGCATGCCTGATGGCGGGCACCTGGAGTAGGGTGTGGGCATAGGTAGATGGGATTCACCTGGGCTGAGACTGTGCTTTTAAGGTCGACGTCACAGGGACGCCAGCAGAAGCCGAGAAGCAGAAGCAGAGATCACCAGAGAGCCCAGATAGAATGAGGATTTGCTGGGGGCTGGGAGGGCTGCCAGCCTCCCGGCCCCCCAGCACCCTTGCCTGCTGTGTACCGGGTAAATCCCAATAAAAGACCTGCAAAAACCACTGAGGACTCTGACTCCTCCTTTACCCGGACTGCTGGATCCTAGAAAACCTGCACTGTGTCATTCCTGCCTCTTACAGCGTCACATTCGTTAGCAAATTAAAGTCCCCCACATGCTTTAGGGAAGAAACCAATTTTAAAATACAATTTCCTACACTTACTTGACAATAAGTGGTTTTTGTAATGAAACCCCAAACACAGTTTTGGAATTGCTGCCCTAGCAGATAGGATCATTTTGTGGTTTATTGATAGTACATCAGTCAAAAGGGGAACTTTGACTGGAAGTGAAGATTTTCCAAATAGATTGAAAGAATGAACCTCTGGATGGGCCCCAAAATCCACAGGTTGGTAAGTCATGCTTGATAACAGTGATCTAAACATAATCAAGGTATTTAATCTGATGTTTATTCAAAATTTTAACTTCACACTAAACAAATATAAATGATTCGTGTTGCTAGTTTCTAGTTACAACTACTGGAATTAACTATTGTGATGAAATTTAAATTTTATTAAAAAGTTAAGTGGAAAGTCTCCCCGATGGCACAGAGGGTTTAGTGCCATGCTGTGAAGCTGTTCACAGTCTCTGCAGTGCGGGTTAGATCTAGGCGGGCCAGCGAGAATCCCACATGGCGCAGCAGACCTCTCCTGTCTCGCCCGCTGCTCCCCTCAGCTGTGTATTTCTGTCAGTCTGCCTGTTCTGTTCCCCGCTCTGGCTCTGGTGAATCCTCTCACCCTCCCGGCCTCTGGCCTGTACCCCAGCTCTTGTATAAAAATAAATAAATCCAATAAATAAATAAATAAAAAGTTAAGTGGAAAAAACTTCTTTTCTCATTTGATGTAGCTGCTCTTGGAAAGTTCAACATGGCATTGTAAATGACACAATAGCTGATTTAAAGGTAAATTAGTAGACTACACTCAAGTGTAATTTAGTAAATCCAGCTGGCCTATTTCCAGGTGAGAAAACCGAGGTTGAAAGTAGAGTGCACAGAAATCATGAAGGAATTAGTACAGGGCTAGTACAGAAATCTGCTAGTCTCTTTTGAGGTAGATCTAAACACCTCTGCTAGGTCTCCAGTTACCTGGAGACACACAGGTGAGCAGTGTCTCTTATCTTCAAGGTCAGAGAATCTTCCCTATCTGGGATGCTTAATAGGTGCTGTTTGACCAGGAGTTTATAAACACAGAAGGGGGCTACCTACAGATGAGGGCCACCCTGCAAAAGGTCACAAGTCCAATTGCCTAAAAAAAAGCAAGCCTCTTTATACTGCTCCATGTATGAACTGTCCTGTGACTTGTCAATAAACTTCAGCCAAATTCACATTTCTTTGCCTCTACCCACTTTTTTGCCAACAAAATTTAACTCCTTTGTGCTGCATTCTAGTTCCCAAACATATGATCTCATTTCCCCTCTTAATCTGGGAGGTAGGTTTCAGTTTGTCTCCTACCTCCCTGCCAATTAATTTACAATAAAACTTCATTTTCTTTTCCAAGCCCAATATCATGGTATCAGTTTCTGTGCATGCTGGGTAGATAGGTCTTTTCTGGGAAGTGGGAGAAAGAACAGTAAAAGTAAAAAATATGAATTACATAGTTCACCTGCCATGTGCTTCCAAACCCTTCTAGTTGCCCTCTCTATAAACTGGATGGTGTTTGTCATCCCAAAACCACTCACTAACTCCAGGCCACCTTTTAGCAGTTTGTCTCCTAAAGTACCCTGTGACTAAACTTCTTTCTCTCTTACCTTTGCCAATCATATAAAAGCAATGTATGAAAAAAAAATGTAGAATGTTGTAGGGTAAGTGAAAAAGTATCAGGCTTTTCTGCCCTCCCGCCATTAGGATTGATGATGGATCCTTGCAGTCCTGAATGCATGCCTGATGGCGGGCACCTGGAGAGGGGTGTGGGCATGCATAAGTGGATACACCTGTGCTGAGAGACTGGGCTTATAAGGGCGGTGTCATGGGGTCGCCAGTAGAGCAGAGCGCAGAGAAGAAAAGGCCATGAGAAAACACCGGAGAGCCCAGATGGAGTGAAGACTTGCTGGGGGCTGGGGGGCCTACCAACCTCCCGGATCCCCAGCACCCCTGCCTGCCGTGTACCTGGTAAATCCCAATAAAAGCCTGCAAAAGCCACTGAGGGCTCCAGGACTCCTCCTTGACCCCTCCTGCTCGGATCATAGAGATACTGCTCTGTGTCCTCCTGCCATTAGAAATGTTAAGAGCACATTTTTTCAGTATTGAAAACATCATTAGGGCAAATGTGCCTTGTAGTATCAAATGTGTTTTCTCCACTTTTGTGGCCAAGAGAAGAGACTCTGGGCTCAAACCTGGCTTGGAATCCCAGCTATTCCACTCATCAGCTGTGTGCCCTTTTTGACTCTCAGCTTCCTCCTCGATAAGCTGAGGTCACAATTAACAAGATGGATGTGAGAGTGGGATCCCATACCTAAATCAAGTATCTGGTACAGTGCCTGGCACACAGTTCATCCTGGGCACCTCACCGAAGAGATTCTGAAAGATAAGCGGTATGAAGCCAGGTGGGTAGGCTCTCCATGCCCAGATCTCATACTCACTGTTGTAAATGAGGTTGGAGGCAGTAGTGCCGGTTTATAAAGAGATGTCAAGGATGCTTCAGCTTTGCAGATCACACCATCCAGTTGTCCCTCAGACCCGGAGTCACACGACCTGGGACCTACACACTGAGCCTATGTACAAGCAACTGGTATAATAAACCAGAAGCCTGGTGCTAATTTATACTCAAGAGGAATGCCTCTCTGTGTCTCCCCAGTGGGACCAGACAACACTGATAATTTCTTCCTCTCTGATTAATCGTTTATATCCTGCAAATAGACTACGTTATCACTTTAAAATGCCAGTCACCAATACACTCATCGAGCTGCAGCTTCATTAGTCGACTTCCACTGCTGCGTACATCCTGGTTCCTGCAGGATAGGTGGGGTCCAAGGCGGAAGGCTGAGCTTAATTAAATCAGGCTCTTTCTAAGGATCCTCCCAGCACCTTGCTCAGACCTGAGCACTTCAAAAGTTAACTCACCAACACTCACTCGCCAACAATTCACTCAAAGGGTATGGCACCCTGCAGACTCAAAGGGATCCTTAACAAGACGTGCTGGTTCTCATGGGCTCCACGCCCAAGGGGTGGCTTTATCGCTAAATTCCACCCTACTCAGCATTGTCATGCATTGACCATGGAGGGGAGGGGTATTAAAACTGCTGAGTGCCTAGTGCATGCCAGCTCTGCACGGAATGTAAGGTGCTTACACGCAATCTTCCTAAGTCGTTGTTAGGAGGTATCCTCATTTCCATTCGATGACTGTCACCCCAAAGCATGGATCCTTTCCAGTACTCCACATGTGCTAACACCTGCCAAAGTGACAGAGGCAGACCCTGATTGTAGGTCACTCTCATGCAGAAGTTGCAGACTTGGCAATTTTTTCTTCAGTGGAAGCGCAGGTATGATTTAGTTGCTTTTCTTGGATTTAGCCCAAATGTTTGGGGATTAAGGAGATTTTGATGAAGAAAGACAAAGGGTATGAGTTGGAGGGTGGGGGAAATGAGTGATGGTACCAAAGTTCAAACTTCCACTTGTAAGATGAATAAACTTTCTGAGGATCCTTAGATCCATGCAGTGTGGTGACTATAGGTAGAAGTGCTGTGTTCTATGCTGGAAAGATGCTAAGGGAGTAGATCTTAAATGTTCTCACCACAAGAATAAAGAAAAAAATTGTGTGAGATGCGAGTTGGTGGATATGTTAATTAATGTCATTGTGGCAATCATTTTGCAAAATGTATGAAAATCAAATCATCATGTTGTAAACTTCCCTGTATACAATATGCCAAGTATAGCTCAATGAAGGGGCATGGGGCAGCCAATGTCAGTTGGGAGAAGGCATGTTAATGGGAGATCTTACAAGTTCCTCTCAGAGGGATGTGTGCTTAGCAAAAAGCTAAAGAAAGTTTTAAATATAAATAAGACCAAAAAATGACTCAAAATTGGCAGGAATATTTTTCAGAGT